CTGGAAAGAACCTGGGGCCTCACAGTCCAAAAGCTGGAAGAAGCCGGCAGCAGGTGGCAAATGGTAAGGGGCCCTCTGGCAGCCACAGTTGCATACCTGCTTGACCTGGGTTGGCAGCCTAGAGGCAGTGATGAGTGGCTGGACACCCACGGCACCAAACACACCATGCACACCCCACAGCAGGAGTGTCGTGTCCTAGACCTCCTCCAGCAAACCTATCAGAAAGACGTGGACCGCCGCATCGCCACCGGCCTCGCTGCCCCTGAGCTAAAGGAGGGAGTCGACTGGACGGTAGGGAGGAAACTGCTGGGGGGTTTTAAGAAAGAAGGGCGAACCACGAAAGCAGCTGCCCTGAGATGTGTTTGGCAGGGTGCCTTGGTGTGCAGCCAAAACTCTGCTGTCAAAGTGTGCCCCCGATGCCACCAGGAAGCGGACTGGGAGCATGTGCTCTTGGATTGTGCCTGGTGGGAAGCTTAGAACTGGGAGTTGCCAACATGGTTCCAAGAAGGCAGGGCCCGAGGCCCGAGATCGCTGTGGACCAGGGGCCTCCCGCCCAAACCCGAATGGGAGGTACAACCTCCACAGGAGGACAATCCCATCTTTTTGGGTATATGGGCTGACAAAGAGCCCCTCAGCGACCCGGAGCTTGTGTATGGCACAGATGCTAGTGGTGGCCCCTACACGGCGGACCCGAGACTCCGGCAGGTGGCATATGCAGTGGTAGCCTGCAAGAAACAGGGCCAAGACTACGTCCAGGTAGGAGCAATCGTAGGCCAAGTCCCTGGACCACAGACGGTTTTTCGGGGGGAGCTGTATGCAGTTTTGCAACTGGCCCGTTATACCGAAGGCCCTATTGACACGACACTGGACTGCCTCGGTGTCCCGAAAAGAGTCCGCAGCCCAAAGCCGGGTAAGACCCACGGTGACATCTGGTGGGAGCTGCAAGCCACAGATGTCAACCGCCTCAAAATGAAATGGGTTCCGTCCCATGTTTCAGAGGAGGAGTTCCTCCGGAAGGTGGGTGCGGAAAACTCGTGGAGACAGCAGGTCAATGACCTGGCGGACAAGCTGTGTGGGGAAAAAGCGGCCGAGCTGGCCCACCCTGATACCCGGGCAGCCAGTCAGTACCAGGACCATTGCAGCAAAAAAGCTCAAGAATTCCTGGCGAGCAGGGCGGAAAAGATCCTTACTGCCATTGGGGAAAATCAGCACCCTGTGTATAAGGTCTTCTTGCAGGAAAAGCAGGCTCGCAAGAGCAACGAGGCCACCTCCAGGCCCTGCAAAAAGCGCATTGGCTCCAACATAGGGAGAGGCCACATTACCACCCAACAGGAATGGTTCCAGGAGCTGGTCCGGACCAAACCTGTGCATGCGTGGGAATGGGAAGGTCTCAACCTCCGGTGTGCTCAGTGTCAACTTAAACTCCTGCACACAAAGAACCGCAAAACCTTGGAAGCACTGGCAGCGCACCAATGCACACACCAAGGCAGAGTGACGGTTGAAGGGGTACATGTTACACATGTTTTAAAACTGCTAGGGGACAGACAACTGTGGGTCTGCGAAGGTTGTGGTGGACAGTTGTCCTTGAAGACCAAAAATGTTTCGCAAAAACTTTCAGTTGCATGCAGTTTTAAAAAAGACCCCAGGTGCAAGGCGCAGTTTAAGCCCGAGCCAACCAATGCCATCCGCAGCCTCTTTCAGCAGGTGCAAGGGACAGCCCAAGTTGCAGCAGACCCCCTGTGCAAAATCCCTGAAGGCACCGGCAGCTGAAGCAACCTAGGAGGTTGCATCCTCCCAGTGAGGATAAAGTGAAGGTCATCCTCGCTACCAGAGAAACCACCCCTGACCGATCCCCTCTAACAGCCTGCGCCAGGTGCACCAGCGGCCTTGAGGGAATTTTTGTCAGGAGGTTTAATCCTCTCATGAGGTATCACCCTCTGGTAGCATCCCAACGAGGATGATGGAGTCGAGGTTCATCCTCGCTGCCAGAGAACACACCCCTGGCCGATTTCCTCTCACAGTTTGCACACAGTGCACCAGAAACCTTGAGGAATGTTTTGCCAGGAGGTTCAATCCTCTCATGAGGTATCAACCTCTGGTAGCATCCCAAAGAGGATGATAGCTTAGGAGGAGGTGATATTCCTCCCCTGTACCATAGGGCCATGAGGGCCATCAGATGTGCCAGTACAGAGGCACGGTTTTTCACAACCCAAGGAGGTGGTTCGCACTAGTTCGCTCAACTCGGAAAAAAATTGCCCAACACCGGACGGTTCGTTCCTCCAGATGTGCATTATGTTGTGCTTCTGGTCAGGACTACGCCTTCCGGAGGGGTACCTCCATCCCCGGGATCAAGGGGAGCATAACTGGGGGTACTTGGGAATGCCCAAGTACCACCGGTTAACGTCCCTGGACGTAGCCAACTGGGGCACAAGGGAACACTACGGTTTCCCCAGCCAAACCCGGCTCGTCTCCTTTTTCCGGTGGTTCGACCAAGACTCCCCCACCCTAAGCAACAAAGTCAGGAGGTGGGTCAGCCTCCACCATGCTAGCGTCCCCATGCTGGCAAGCCTGTTGCTGTGGGAGTTAAAGAACATGGACATGGTGTTTGTCGAGGCTCTCATTGACATGAAAGTCCTATATGAGTTGCCCTCACCGGACTATGGGCTAGCACGACCCCTCGGCAACATCATGGAAGAGCCTCGCTGGGAGTTGGTCCCCCTGAGGGAGCCACCAGCTGATGCAGCCTAGCATCCTCCCAGCGAGGAAAGGCAAGAGGTACCATCCTCGCTACCGGAGCGGAACCCTGACCGCCTCCCTCTGTCAGCCTGCACCAAGTGCATCAAAGGCCTTGAGGGAACTGTTGTCAGGAGGTTCCTAACCTCTCGTGAGGTACCAGCCTCTGGTAGTATCCCAAAGAGGATGAAAGCAGAGGTTCATCCTCGCTGCCAGAGAGCACCCCTGGCCCTCCCCTCACGGTTTGCACCCCTTGCACCAAAACCTGAGGTGTTTTTGCCAGGAGGTTCAATCCTCTCTCCTGAGGTACAACCTCTGGTAGCATCCCAAAGAGGATGGTAGCCTAGGAGGAGGTGCTTTCCTCCCCCTGTACCATAGGGCCAAGAGGGCCATCAGGAGTGCCAGTACAGAGGCACGGTTTTCACAACCCAAACACCAAGACGGTGGATCGCTTTTGTTCGCTCAACTCGAAAAAAAATTCTCGATGTTGTTGTTCCCACCCCCCCCCCCCCCCCCCCCCCCCCCGGAGGGCCGGGAGTTCGAACCTGGGTTGAACCCAGCTTCGAACCCCCCCCCCCCGAACCTTGCTCAGAGCGCTTGGAAAGAAGTTCTCAGCGCCGGCAGAAGGCCGGTAGGTTCCAATACCACTTGAGATGACAAGGCAATCAGCACCCATAAGGAGGACACGCACGTCATAAACGCATTGCTGGGCAATGGAAGCAACACGACTTCTGGTACAATGCTTTCTAAGCATCCATGTGCAAGCACACAGACCGCTCCAGGAATGTATGAAAACCGCATTTATGCCAAAAATGCCCTTACACCTTGCTTGCCACAACTGTAGATCGGATCTCGAGTCCTTCTCCCAACAGGAAAGACCCAGTCTGGGTTAAAATAATTGACCTTGCCCAGTAAAACGGCGACCTTGCCCAGCAAAACGGCGACCTTTCCACCCTGCCCAGTAAAAATGCAACCTTGGACCCCGAAGGTCGCCGTTTTACTGGGCAAGGTCGGTTTTTTAACCAGAGCTTGCCCAGTAAAACGGCGACCATCGGGCCAAAGGTAGCAATTTTACTGGGCAGGGGGGTGTGCCCGGTCGCCGTTTTACTGGGCATGCTGTTTTGCTGGTTCCATGACCAAAACAAACTGTTAGGCAGAAATCTGCCCCGCACACACGGCGCTTAATTGCAGGGCAAAGTGGAGAGCAGAACGGTTGGGTTCCCTTCTTTGGGAACCTGGTAACGCTTACATTAACCCCGAAGGCGTCCGCTTGCAATGCTGCTGGTGCGCTGCAGGTGTTTGGAGCTTGACGTACCCTGCTCACATGGAGCATGTGTAAGACTCTGTAGCGTAAAGCCTTGCAGCGACTTCTGCTGGAGATGTAAGTTCCCGCCTTTCCTTCCCTTGTGGAGCGCGTTTGGGAGAGTACAGTTCCTTTAGTTGCATAGATTGTGGTACTCCAGAAATCGGTTCGTTGCGAACCTCATGAGCGTCGTCGAGTAAAAGGGGTTGTCTTCTGGCACCGAAGTGGAAACAGGAACGAAATGTGTGCGAGCGCGTTTGCGGTCTCTTACAAGGAGTAACGTTCGTTGTCGTTATTTCGTGTACAAGACCATGCATTGACGTATCTTTCGCAGCTTCTGAATTAGAAGTTTTTCTCATTGCGTTGCAAGTGCATGAACATTCATCGTGATGCAAGCATAGTGACATGAGCGACCCTGAACTTCACAGTGCAAAGTTTCATCTTGACAACTTTACCGTTTGTGACGGCAAGCTGTTTGGGGTGGCGCAACGTTGCAACACTGTTCTACCAGTACATTACAGTGAAGGTATACAAAAGATAATAACAAGAGGATCACCAAGAACGGGCAACGTAGAACTGAACCAACGTGGCGCATATTGATAACTCGCTGGGATTCATTGTCGTTGTTCTGAAAGTGCAGTGACGTAAAATCGTTGGCCATCAGCTGGTAATATGATTGACGGCTTGAAATTCGTGTTTGAATGAATTTGAATGTGTGAGTTTGTGTGAATGCCTGTATATGAAACACGGTGCTTGCGCAGACAGTCTTCTCGCGAACATCCAAGAGCGATTGCTCAAGGTAAATTGAAAAAACATTTTGCGGTGGCACACGGTGCTTGTGAGTGCTTATTTTTTGACTGCATTTGTGAGGATTGGCAAATGCATGTTTTGAATGCCACGGATGTTGGTTACAGCGCAGGTAGCACCAATCTTATTGTACGGCGTGCAGCAGCCTTTTGAAAGCATGGGGCCTCGTCGTCGGAATGTGACGCCAGTGCTGCTAGGCTTTGCAGCGCTGCTGCTGTGGCAAGCTTGGCAGAGTGACGTGCACCTTTTCCTTGCACAGCAGTCGCAACCAACACGTGCCAAAACGGCAGCTTCGCTTGATTGCGGGGCTGATCTGGAAGCACCGCTTAGCAGGCGAAACGTGTTCATGGCCCTCGCTACGGTTGGAACCGGGCAGGCAGAAACCGCATATGCTGTTGCACCCAAGACTATTTTGGTGGCCGGCGCAACTGGGCAAACTGGAAGGCGCATCGTCGAAAAACTGTCAAAAATGGGCGATGTCTCAATAATTGGAGGAGTCCGAGATACCGCCAAAGCCGAAAAAGAGTTGAGCAAGTCGTCCATTACCATCCGTGGAGCAATGATCGATGAGGTCAAGGCAGTTGACACGAAAGGGGTATCTTTGAAGCCTTTGGACGTCACGAAGGATTCTGTTGACAAGCTGGCAGCGACTTTGACGGGGTGCGACGCGCTCATTGTTGCGACAGGTTTCGTCCCATCGAACCCTTTCGCTATGGGAGCAGACGCGCATGCGGTCGACAACTTGGGAACGAAGTCCTTGGTAGATGCTGCCAAAAAATCCGGGGTCAGCAAAATCGTACTTGTGTCTTCCATCTTGACGAATGCGCGAGCTTGGGGACAGGAAAACAGCCCTGGTTTCCAAGTTACGAATGCGTTTGGCAACGTGCTGGATGAGAAGCTGGAAGCAGAGAAATACCTGCGTGCATCTGGCATCGACTACACAATCGTGCGGCCAGGTGGTCTTAAATCCACCGCCCCAGAGACCAACCTGTTGCTTGAAATGAGGCAACAATGTGTAGTTACAACTAATTTCCTTACTAATGTTTTTCCGAAACAGCCGTCCCTGAACATACTTTACTTCGTGATTGGTTGCTTTTTGCGCATCGCATGTGGACGTACAATGACGTTCAGGGCAGCACTGTTTGAGTTGTGTACTTGACGCATCAAGGTTGGTGGCCAAAGAAGACACATTGAACAGCGGAGAGGTGTCTCGGGACTTGGTGGCCGACGTCAGCATCGCAGCGGTGTTTGATGGCAAGGCCTCCAACAAAGTGGTTGAGATCATTGAAGATGAGAAAGCCAAGTCCGAGGCAAAAAGTGAATGGTTTGCTGCATTGTAGCCATTGTAGCCTATTTTGCAACAAAAGATTGTGACTGCAGGGCAGTGTATGACAGGATTTTCGCATGGGGCATTACTGCTTGGAAGCGAACCGCCCCGTACAACTTTTCGTATGGATCTGTCCAGATCTGGCCTCATACCATATCCGTGGCGTGCACAATTGTGCACGTGCGTGCGCCAGACGCAAACAAGTTGCAACGGGTTGCAACAGCTATCTTGTCATTGTTACGGTTACGCAACTCGCATCGCTCTTTTGCATGCAATGGCCCGTGCCTTGATTCAGACGTCTGCAAAAGAATTGCCGCTCAGGCTTCGTGAGCTCCAATGAGATTATCAGCCACTCTTGTCCTTCTTTTTGGACCCTAAGGAATTTGATTAGTGACGGCTCCCATGTTTGCCAGCATCACAGCATTGCAGAACCTGACCTTCTCAGAGATCCAACGGCTTGTTACATCATGGCGCTGAGTCCGTGTCGCAAGCGGAGTCAACTCGGAGACATTGCCCGTTTGCATCAGCCCCTTTGCTGCAAGGACTGTCGGCTTGGGTGTTCTACGTCCTTACATACAGAATACAGAGTTGCACACTGTATCACGGGGCGCGCACTTCGCATGTCTCGACGACTTGTTTCACAGACTTTGGCCACGCCATCATGTCATCACTTTGTTGTTGATGATTTGAGGCGTGCATGGGCTGTCTCAATTGTGCTCTTGGTGGCTTTTGCCGGGGCCTTTGTGAAGGTAAAGCGGATTGAGTATCTGGTGCATGGGTTTTCATTTTCTGCTCCTGGCGCGCTGGGCCTCGAATATTTCCTCAAACCCGATGTTGCCGGCAAACTATCACCATCATTGACTATCGCTGGTATCGCTGACTATCATTGACGATCACCATGTGGGAGCGTTTCAGAGGCGAGGCCATCTGCATTCGCCATTGGTCGCCGAGCGGCGCGCCTGAGCAGCACAGCTCTCTCGTGAGGATAGTTCGTGGTCGTTCTGCCACGGGTTGTCTGGACATGTCGCAAATGTTTCATGGATAGTGTTTGCCCGCCTTGAGCTGCTAAGTTGTTGACCTCACAGCTGCGCAAGGCTCTATTACCTTGTGCCCCCGGCAGTGGCGGCCGAGGCACGTGCTGCGCTGCGCCAGCTTCCCGGAAGGATGATGTTGCGGGCAGTAAAGGTCAGCAGACCGGACGGCTTCAGCTACACCACGCTTTCAGCAGGCACAAGCCGTGGCACGCTGTATGCGGCACGCTCGTTGCACGCTGCGTCTTAAGAATGAACCTTATACGACAACAGTGCACACAAAAAATGCACCTAGACTCTTACAGGCACCGAGGGCACCTCACCACGAGATGGCCCGGCTCCTTCGGCGCACTATGTGGGGTGTTCTCGTGATGCCTTTTCGCAAGGTCATTATTATTATTGTTATTATCATTATTATTAGTATTTAAAAAAATTGTTTGGTAGATTTCACATGAGTTGACTCAATTGTTGAGAGGGTGCCTCGGAGAAGTCAGCCTCCGGTAAAGATGTCAGATTATGCCCGTATGCCGCATATGACTTTGAGGTTCGATCCTACGCGAAGGTGTGGCTGAGGTGACGGTCTGAGTCGCTAGTGCCCCAACACCCCGAGAGTCCCGCTTTAGAGTCTTTAGGGCACGTGCATAGCACCGGAGCAGCGAGTTCAGGTTCACGGGGCATGTCGACGGCTTTGACGGGCCGGTGTTCGACTCTTCTGCGCTGCGTGGCGCACGCCGCCCTGTGAAGAAGGACCGTGGCCTGCCAGGTGCATCGAACCTCAGATATTGTGCATTTTATAGATAGCTTTTGCGAACTGCAGCACGGGGAAGCATCAGTGTAAACACAACCGGGATATACGGGACAGGACTACGTGGAGATCGAGTGCAATATTGACGATACCTTTGGTGCAGCAATGTGGGAGGCGCAGCTGTCATCCGCCTAGGAGCACTAGAGTGGAGATTCCGTGTTGAGAATCACAGCCAAAGACTCAACAGCCCCCCAGCACGCGTGTTGGGGAGCGGCAGCTGAAGGCTAGCAACAAAGTAAAGATAGAGGCTTGCGATGAGCGACTGCCATTGCACAATTGTCGTTTGCGACCTCATGAAAGGCATTGCGGTTGATGAAGGTGGGCGAGAAGGCAGCTCTTGAGCCGGTAAAGATAGGCAAGCAATCAAGTGTTGCTGTTTACTACTGCTGTTCGGCAGCCCCTACTTGAAGCTGCGGCTGGTGCAAATGTATTGCGTTTGTCCTTCCAGTTCGCTTTGCCACCATGCTGTGTGTGGAGGGACGTTTCGTCCAGCCCCCTGAGCTCAGCTTTGGAGGGGGCAAAGCATCCTTCCAAGGAGATGTTGCGGAAATTGAGCATGTTCTACTGGTTATTGGATGTCTTGTGCCCATGTGTGGGCCATTCTGCTGTGCTTGTCAGGAGATGAGGATTCTGAGGTGCGGACAGTACCTGCCGGCTCAACGCTGTACTACGATGTCGAGCTCGTCAGAATCATTCGACCTTGAAGTTCTCACAGGGCCGCACACGAAACGACTGTGCCAATGTAGTGCCAATGTGCAGCGGGGCTTGGCCGAGCTCGTTTTGCTCGCAAAGACACGAAAAGAAAAGACCAACAAGCAGGGTTTCATCAGTTTCGATCACGGCGGTCGCTCTTGCTGGATCATCAATACGTCAGCAATATTGGAGATCGTTGTCTTGATTACTTTATATTACTTGATTGGGAACAGACGGCACAGACATAGCTGGCTCAAAGAGCGATCCTCTGCCTTCGGCCAATCCTTGCATTGCGTACAGGTTGGCACCACGGTCACAGCACACGGGCCTACGTTGCCCTACGTTGCCCTACGTTGACCATCTCGACAATATTCGGATATCTCGAAGTTAAGACGCAACACAACGAGTCTCAGCGCGTTCGGAGCCCTTCGGGGCTCCGGAAAGTGTGTCTGCACAGGGATGTGTTCTGCCATGTCATGTCGGGATGTTCACGTCTGGCACGGCACCGCAGAAGGCCCCAGATGGACAAAAGTACGAAGCCACAGAGACATCAGAATGCTTCGCAGGGAGCAAAGGGTTGAGGGGGAGGAAGATACCCTACATTTGTGACGTTGCCCCTTATCCTAACAGTCCTTCATAGGTTTCCTTTTTTAAACAGGGGGTGCTAGAATACCCGTTAAGTACTGTTAGTATACGGGGGAAGTAGACATGTGCTAGACCTCCATGGCACTTCCATGGACCGGAAGCACTGCTGACTTACTACTGCTTTTGTTGTTGCTGTTGTTGTTGTTGTTGTTGTTGTTGTTGTTGTTGTTGTTGTTGTTGTTGTTGTTGTTGTTGTTGTTGTTGTTGTTGTTGTTGTTGTTGTTGTTGTTGTTGTTGTTGTTGTTGTTTTTTTGTGCGGGGGGGGGGGGGGGGGGTACGATCCTGAGTATGATTTTTTTTCGTGAGTGTTGTGGTGCTGTGCCGTTCTCGGGGTCTGAGAAGAGGTAATCGTCGAAGAACGCATCTGAGCCGAATGACGGCAGCGTGATGTACATAGTATACGGACGGCTGACCGTAGGACCTGGTTAAGTGCTTAGGCGTTGTCTTGGTAGCTCAGTGGTACCCTTTATCCTTTTTGGGTTCCCTTATAAAGTAACCAATCTGCACCAGCAGCCGCACCCAGTGCGTATGCGGCCTGTACTGAGCTCGCCCATCTCTTGTAACAACTAGTGTATGTACTTGCAATGCGAAGCATCTCTATGCCATGGTTTGTGCATGAATATCGGATACTAGGATGGCCCTAAACCTACGCCCCTTTTGCATTCGCCACTCCTCTGCTCTAGCTATCACGTGCTACAGAGCGGAGCTGCTGCCATTACCAATCACGTTTTTCAGATGCGTGCCAGTCTGACAGGATTGGAGTAGCGCGGTCCCGACCAGACCAGGCCTGGCGAGGATTGTCCTTGTTCTGTCGAGTACGTTCGGAAGTTGGAGCTTTGCCACTGTGCACAAAGCTTGTAGTGAACTGTAGCGAAGGGCACTGCGAACTCGTTGTGTCTTGCGGGCATTGTTTTTGTTTGGGTGGGTGCAGGGCGGCTTCAGGCTCGAAGCGGAGTGAGCGTAGCGGCAAGTGTCGGAAATTGCAACTTTTTGCCTTCGCTCATGAACCGTAAATGCTCTTTAACTTCGGGAGGCCTTGTGCCGTTGTGCGCTGAGGTGGGGAATCTGCTTCGCGACACGAGCGGAACGACCTGGAGGACGGGGCAAAGCCTGTGCGAGTACGCTTCCAGTACGCTTGAGAAGAACCCTTGAGACTTGCTTGAGACTCAGTTTTGGGGATCGGCATGGCTCCAAAAGACGTGCCTTTGCAGGATCCAGCTCGATGGCGGTCGGGTTGAAGTCCGCTCACCGCCCTTCAGCTTGTGAGCCTTTAACAGCTTGTGCAACACATTCAGCAGGCATTCAGCTTCGACACTTTCCAAGTTTTTTTCTTGGGTCCGCAACTGGTCACATTTGGCTAGATGCGGACACAGCGTCACAGTTGTCGCAACATTTGCAGCTTGGGAAGCCCAGGTCATACGGCGACAAGAAGCTCTTCCGGGGCAAGCTGCGTGTTTTGCTTGGATACGTGACACGGATCTTTGTGGCTGGTGCCGATCAACTTTGCAAGACAAATTTTAAATGGCTCAAGCGAATTGATACCGGGAACACGAGGCAACATACGCCACAATATTGAAGATGGCATTGTATCTCGGTCGCTCGTTGTGTAAGTGTGGTTTGCTCTTTGCCGGCTTGCTCAGACTGCTCTGTTTTGCTGGCGGCCTGTGCTCCGTGAGAACAGCGATCCCTCGCAGCCTTCGCACTTCATACGCGCCATCCACTGTGGCACGAGCAGAGTCTGTCCACCACTGGAGTCTGCCTTTGACACAGGCTGGCAAAGAGGATGGCTTGTGGCGTCGTTCGTGCTTGGTTTTCGTCATTTGTGGGGGCTCTGGCTTCTTTTGCAAGTCAGCCAAAGCGCTGTCACAACCGCCTCCCTTAAAGATCTCGGGCTCCTCCAAGCCCATGCCCGCTGTTGGCTATGGCACCTGCTGCCGAGAAAGTGCTCAGGGACAGCCCCTGATAACATCTACCAAAGCCTATCTGGCAGCTGGTGGGAGGTTGATAGATACTGCACAAGGTTACGGCAACCATCTAGACATAGCAGAGGCCATCCGGCAAAGCATGGTGCCCAGAGAGGAGTTGTGGGTGACTTCGAAAGTTAGGGTGCGCGCCTGTAACACAGCGGCAGATGTTCTGAAGGCAGTGAATAAAAGCCTGGAGCAGTTAGACCTCAGCTACCTTGACCTCATGCTGCTTCATGGTGGAGATGGCTGGGGAATAGGCCCTGAGCGGGATGAGTCCCTTTGGCGTGGCTTGATTGAAGCACAGCAGGCTGGCAAGGTGCAAAGCATTGGTGTCTCAAACCACAATCGTGATGAAGTGGAACGCCTCATTTCGCGCACAGGCGTGGTCCCTGCGGTCAATCAGCTCGAGTTTCATCCATGGGTCCCAGCTGAGACACGGGAGCTCGTTCGGTGGTGCCAGAGCAGGGGAATTGCTGTGACGGCCTACGGGTCGCTGGGCGGCTCTCAGAACAAAGGCCGTGCAGAATCTGCAACGAAGATCGCGCAGAAGTATGGCAAGACGAATGCACAGGTGTTGTTGCGATGGGCCTTGGATCAAGGGGTGGCAGTGATACCTGGCGCAAGCAGTGAGCAGCACATCCGGGAAGACTTGGACCTCACGGGCTTCGTGTTATCCGCGGAAGATGTATCGCTTCTGGAGAGTGGCGAAGCACCTGCCAGCTTCGCAAGATGGCACAACTGCAGGAGTGGATGTGCAGCGTGAGCCAGACTTGCTGCATCTGCATAGCTTGCACTTCTGGCCTGCCTTGCTCACAGCTACAGTGCCATTACAATGCATGCTTATCATCCGTGCTTGATTGTTTCAACAGGTTCACACGTAATCACGACCTCATGAACTGCGGTTGCCGATGCGGTCCCAATGGGGCTTCATCCGACACCCGAGCTGTTAAGGTCTGAAGACGTCTTCCGGGCTTGCTTCGGATGTGCAGGCCACGCCTCTTTAGCCTTTGCTGTCATCACTTGTGTGTTGCACTAGCATGCCGCTCTCAGCAAGTGCCCTTGCTGTTGTATCCTGATTAGTGTGCCCCCCCGGAATTGTGAAAAAGAATCCAAAAACTATTCAGGGGGGTCTATTTGAGGAGGCTCCCTGGAATTGTGAAAAATCGGGCGATGCAAAATTTCGGCGAAGCTGTTGAATGGTGTTGTTGTCTAGAAATCGCTTCTGAACTGAGCCTAAGAGACCAAACCTTGAGGCCTGAGGTTGTCGGGCCCTGACATCTTCAGTCTCCAGGCCAGCCCCAAAACTAAGATTTCTTCATAAATGCTTTTGTACCGAGGCCGGGCAATCAAATTTCAAAGGGGGTAGTCCAGCAGCTGCCCGAATGCCGTATGATATGAACGCTTGCTCCCCCGGAATTATATGTTTTTGCGGGCTAGTTGGGTTTGGATCCAGAGGCCTAAGGGCTGAGGCTTCCTAAACCTCGAGGCCTGAGGTTGTCGGGCCCTGAAATCTTAAGTCTCCAGGCCAGCCCCAAAGCTAAGATTTCCTTATAAAATGATCTGTACCGCCAGGCAATCAAATTTCAAAGGGGGCAGTCCAACAGCTGCCCGAATGCCGTATAATATAAAACGTTTGGTCCCCCGGAAGTATTTTTCTTTTTGCGGGCTGGCCTGGTTGGGAGAGATGGATCCCCTTTAAATTCATATAAACTCATCCCTTTAAAATCATGTGGATCCCTTAAACATCATATGAATCCCTTTTGAGTTCATATAAACTCATCCCTCTTAAAATCGTATGGATCCCTGTTAATTTCATACAGTCTCACCCCTTTTATAATCATATGGATCCCTTTTAAATTCTTACGAGCTCATCCCTTTCAAAGTCATATGGATCCCTTTAAAATTCATATAGACTCATCCGTTTTAAAATCATATAAAGCCAGACCCCCCCCCCCCCACACTACAGAGCGGGGTCCATTTGTTGAGGGGGAGGGGGGGGGCCACACTAATCAGCAGACAACATTATTACGGATCTTCTTCCATCCTGAATGAAGAGCTTAGTGTTCCGTGTCTTCCATCATCAGCTTCTCCATTGCTCGATGTGGTGTGACTCTGCAGTGTACCAGGCTCTGGCCAGGCTTCCGCTACCCAAGCCCAACGTGGACTTGCAAGGTGCAGGACTCTCGCAGCTTTTCATGTGTGGTTGTGTGTCGCACGCAGATGTCGCCGCAAGGCCATGTACCCTGTCTGACAGGACAACTTCACAGACCGGGTCTGGAAAGTCACGGAGGCAAGCCTGATGTGAATGTGGATCAATGTCCGTCAAGACTGAACCGCAGCTGCTAGGCCGATTCCCTCCCGGAGTTTCAGTAGGTCACGAAAGTTTTCCCACCCATGATTGCCAATCTTGAGCTTTACATCACAGCCTCATTGGAAGCGTGCCCTGGTAATTTTTTGCGACACTTCTCCTTCCTGTGGCCTCCAGTGGACGTCAAGATTGGTTTCTTGCTTGAGCCTTCCGTGGGGAAACTGATTGTATCAACTGGCCGTAACTAGCCTCTCAGCCCTCTTTGGTTCTTTTGCGGGTTGATTTGATGCGTTGGATAGGTGGCTACTGCTGTTTTTGTTTGTCTTTCTTGCGTCCCCCACTTGACGTGGTCATTCCGACGCTGGTAGCTGAAATGCCGTCTCGTTGGTCATACAACCTCATCTCGGAGTGGCTGAGAAAATTGCAAAAGCTGGCAACCCAAGAGCACGTTCGCTCTTAGGGGATGTTCTGCGGGATGTCAACCCAAGCGGGCCAATTGACGCATAGCTTCGCCTGGGCCGCCTGGGCCAGGCAGCCATCCTTTGGATTCCCGCTCGTGAAGACATGAGTTTTGCAGCACATGTTGCCTCGACTTGTCCCCTGGCGAGACCAAAGCGACAACGCTTCCTTTCGTCGCGATTGGTGAAGTTGCTATTGTCATGGGCTCCATGTTGAATGCTTGGACACAAAACAACTGGCTGCTGCGCGAGAGCACGTCTTGCATTATATCCAGCACTGCGCCCAGCGGTCTTGCCAGGATCGCAAGAGGCAGGACTGCAAGAGGCAGGAACCTCTGATGCCAACCTCATCTTGAAAGAGGCCAGGAATCATAGCAAAAGCTTTCACACCCACATAGATCGCTGCCTCGAAGCGTGACATGGAGGACTTCCCAGTTCTCTGCCGTCGACTCCGCCGTTTGCCTCTACGTCAACTCGCTGTGGCCGTGCAGCTTGAACTCCAAGTTAACGGATTCAAGTACTTTCTGTTGCCATGAGGACTGCGAAGTGTGAAAGACTGATGCAGAGGGGTTTGGCATGTTGGTCATGATTCTCATTGCACCGCTCAGTCTGCTCGTTGCCTTCTTTTCTGTTTTCTCAGGTCACCCGTCTTTTTGGAGAGAATCTACCGCCGGATGCCGCCTGAGCAAGCAGGCGGCACACCGGCTACTCGCCGGCTACTCGCCGGCTAGCCATTCATGCGCAGCGGATGCCGCACGAAGCCGGTGTAGCGGGGTTGAACGAGAGGACAAGCTGCCTTGCGGCTGTGGGCGGTTGTGTCCCGACGGGTGTGTGCCCCAGTGTGGCGAATTCAGAACGCTGGTCAGCAGCATCATGCTGAGCAGGAGTGAGCGGCAAAAGGGTTCTGATGCATAATTCGAAGCTTGTGCAGTACATGCGAGCATGTGACGTCAGGTGCTGGTAAACAGTGCGCAGCTTCCTCTGCCGCAGGCGACTCAGACATACCAGATTTGCCCTTGGTGGTCGACGGATGCGATCAACCCGGTATCCCGGGGCAGAACCTTCCAGTTTATATTTACGGTTATTTGAACGACAGCTTGAGCTGGTGCCACCCCATTGCCATTGATGTCAACCTGTTCGTTTGCCAACCCGATATCGAGCAGGGTTTGCAGTTACCGGCAGGTTTCTTGATAATGATGTTGACAGGATGTGTGAGCTTCTTCATGCTAGTGAGATAGATCCATTCTGCAAGAACCCTGATAGCATCGAGGGCCTCGGCTATAAGAACGGAGGGCCTCAGGCTGGCCTCAGGCTTCAGACCCAATGTAATCTTTCAGGTCCTGGCCTTCGAGTTACAGTCCAAGAGCCTCGAATGGGCTTTCAATCGGCTGAGGAAAACACGATTTCGTGCTTTTTGCGGACCTCTCGTGAGTTCAGCACGGTCAGATACCTCGGAGGTCGCTTTCCTACGCGCTGCCTCACTTGCAGCGGCTGGGACACCTGGCCAAAGTCTCTGCTCTGAACAAGGCGCGCAGTGGTTTCCAGGCTACTTTTGGCACGCGCATGTTGTGTGCCTTTGGTTAGGTCGTGCGTGGCCTAGCCAGGCAGGCATCGCAGATGCAGGTGCAGGAGCTGCTGTTGCTTTTCACATCACATTAGTGTGGGTACGGCAGCCGCAGGCGGATATGGAACCTGTGCTCGCCGAGTCTGTGGGTTGAGAAAAATTTGAGGTTCCATGGTGGGAAGCTGGCCCCTGCGCATTCAACACAACACAGGATTTGTGCGGCTGTTGACACTGCAACGGTAAACTGTCGATCTGGCGGTACCTTCCATAAGCCACCAGTGCAAGCCCAAATCGGCTTCGCGGAAAAGCCCCCAGTATGGCTAACTAATGCTAACAACCTGCACACGTCGTCTTGGGTAGCTCTGTTGCGATGACGGCCCGGTGCTTTCCTCGGATTTTGCAGGCCTTGGCTGCGTGCAGTTGCTGCGTGCAGTTGCTGTGTGCAGTTATGTGCGGCTGTTGAAATGATCCAGACATGTCTAGTTGTGTTGTGAACATGTTCTGTTGCTTTGTCCAGTGCTTTCCGTACAGGTTCGCGCGTATGTGTCCGAGGGCCCTGATGACAAGCATGTGCAGGGCTTCGGGCTCGATATCTGGTTGGGATGGTCGAATGGGTTGTTGACCCATAGCAGTTGTATGGGCAGAAGCGGGTGCAAGCACAGCTGGGCTTTTGCACTCGGCTTGGGTGGAGCACTTGCTCTTTGCCTTCTGTCGACCGCCAAGGGGCAGATTGCCATGACGTGGCCGACAAGCATTGGATCAACGGCAATCTCCCATTGGATGCAGGATCCTCGGTGCTCCGGGCGAGTTTCGTCTCAGTAACATCCTGCAAGCTCGAGGATGAGCTGCTGCCCATTGCGAACCCGATGTGTCTTGGCGATTGTTGGAGAGACTTCTGAACTTTAGGGGCATTTGATTTGAGGCTTTCGAGGCTGTCGAGAGGTCAGGAACTCGGGGGATGTAAAAAGGCCCAGCGTGCTTCCCACATGGGGCCTGGGGACTTTGATCCGAGCATCTGCACAAAAGTATTTCCCCAGACTGTCAACATTAAACGGTTCACATCCGTGCTTAGCATCTATCTCTATATACTCAAAACAGTGTGTGTATATATATACACATATGCAAAATCAGAAAGAGAATGCTGCAATTGCGAACCCGTACTTCAGCTACCTTAGGGGTTGTACCTTGGACCCTCAAGGCTGTAACTTTGGGTTTTGGGAAGGCAGTATAAGTGCCACATTACTTGTAGGAGTATGTATTAAGGGGAACCTGGGTACAACTTTAGGGGTACGAGTCTTACTCCCTTGAGCTACAAGTTTCTTTTTGTGGAGTTCGGTGCCTGGCCTTGCCAGGCCTTGCCAACATCTTGCCTTCACCTTGCCTTCTTTCTTGCAGTCTTCTACTTTCTGGTTCGGCTCTCTGGTTCTGGTTGCATCAGTTGCTTCTTCTGCCTTTCTCATGGTCTCGCAGCTGAAGCCCCAAAAAGAGGTTTCAGGTAGTTTGAGGTGTGACTCAGTAGGTGCCTCTGCGCTTGGACCACATCACTCCAGGTCCGTCCATCCACCGTACAAGCGCTACCGCAAGTCCTGGGGCATCAACGCCATGGGCAGCATGGTTGTGGAGGCAAAACAGCGAAGGATTACGAAGAGCTGATGTCTGGCTTGGGACTAAAAACCTTTCAAAACACAGATTGACAAACACAGGATTCAGAGAGCAGATTGTGAGCATATTGAGCAGTGCAGCGTGGAGAGCCCTTCGGAGGTCGAGGCCGAGGATGGCACAAGTGGAGTTGGTGTCACGATCGGCCCGAAAGCTCAGAGCCTTGAAAGTGCTCCATACGGCATGTACGGGGGGCACATATGGCGTGTGCAAAGCATGTGAGCAAATATATCTGCAAATATTGGTTTGTGTGTGTGTGTTTTTTTTTTGGGGGGGGGGGGGGGGCTCAGGTTGAAGAAGGGCACACGGGTTGCACACCCGCGAAACATACCTCGGAACATGCCCCGAAACATACCCCCGAAACATACCCCGTAACATACCCCCGAAATTGCAGGTAAAGTAGCTCATGATGGCGCGAAACATACCCGCGAAACATACCCGCGAAACATACCCCGACCCCAACACCTGTCGCGCGCCTCCCCATTAAAATACAAACCCATATGTGCCGGATCGGGAGACCCGATTTGGAGGAGAGGTGATCAAAATTGCAAATGTGAGATAAGCAGCATCAGTGCAGCATGAGCATTCTTTTTCATACGCTGTAATGTCATCTTCATGTTGATGCTGGTATCCCTGCCCAAAGTTGCAGCTTCCCAAAGTTTCTTTATTGATGTGTGTCAGTGTCCGACCTTATCGGCGGTTCTGTTCTTGGCCTGGGATATGACGCTGATTCACAACCTGGACGCGATTCAGGAAACTGTCGGTACTGTTTGCTCGCCCCTTCTGCGTAGACAACACCAAGCTAGGTTCCAGAATCCACCGAGTCCATCGAGCATCAGGAATCGCGATTGTTGCTCGTAGACAATGTAGAAACAAGGCGGTGAAGCTGGTTGCTACATCGTCGAGCAGCATCTGAGCCGCTTTGTCGAGGGTCAGGCCTGTGATGCTGAAGGTATGAATTGGGTGTGAATAAAGTGGAATCAAGCCCAAAAAGCCCGTGCGCTTTTCGATTTGGTTCGCATGTTGTCGGCAAGGCCGTCCAACACATTTTGAAAGCCCCGCGTTGGCCTTCGTGCACCAGGACCCGCGGAACATTGAGCTTATGTGGGACCAGATGTTCCGGGCAACCATCAACTACGGCCGCAAAGGTGGGTGATGGTGGGAATCCAAATCGGCTCAACATCCATCAAGCACCGAGAAGTCGTTTGTTTCCATGCAGTGAGACGTGAGGCTTGCCGTTGCAAGCGATCTCAGCAGTGGACCTGGCTCTCTGGGATCTGCTCGGGAAGCTCCGTCGGCAGCCGAGAACGAAAAGAAGGGGCGAAGTTCTCATATTGACAATGGAGAAATCATTGAGAAAGGGGACTGATAGGAGAAAGGGACCTGAAAGGCCGAGAGGGGAGAGACATGAAGAGACAGGGCCTCTGCACAGTGTGAGGCCAGGAGCCAGTGTATATGCCCGGAACTCAGCACATTCCGCCACGACTGAGATGGGAGCGACCTCAGCAATACACAGATGACGTTGCATGAGTCTTGCACCAGGTTGCTAGGTGGCGCTACCAAGCCTTTCCTTCCCATGTACACTACGACTTCGCGCCCTGATGCCGGTGGCTCAGCTACAACTCCATTCCTGAAGGCTTCTTGCACTCTTCCTGTGCCTTCATCCATTATATCATTATATCGTTATGGTACCATCATCTCTGTTTCGCCTTGCGCATGTTGAACAGATTCCGTCTGACAAGCTCACGTGCGTGTTTGTGTCTGAATTAAGGTTGGCAAGCAGCTGGGCTTTGTCGGCTGCAAAGTCGCATGCCCCTTTGGGCCTGCTGACGGGCATGAGGGCTTCGCCAAGAACGCCAGTGCCCCGTCGGTGCTTGAGCTTTGCTTCTGAAGCGATGCAGAACAGCTTTAGCAAGTGTGCCTGCAGCCATTCAACTTGGCATCCTACGAGTGCCCGCATGTCAAATCCCACAGGTCAAGTACCTCAAGAAGTCCGGTGCTTGTAGTTTTCTCAGAGAAGCACGCGCACACACACACACACACACACACCTGCAGTTGGTTTTGTTGTGCTGTCAGTGCAGCTCGTGAGAGGTCTAGACGAGAGCCAGTGAGCTAGTAAGGTGATAGGGCTGTTGCATTCGCGAGGTGCCGACATGATGTTGGTGAAGGATTCCCGCTGATGCTGGACTGCTACATGGCACTGTCAGTGCAATTGACCCAGTTTCAGATTTTGTAGCAAGTGACCTATCGCAGTATGGTCGCGTACCACCCCTGGTGACCAGTAGAAATGTTCACGCCAGCGTGCGTTGCCTGGCCCAGCCTGAGGTATGCAGGTATGCCTTGGAGGGGGTCCCAGGGTCAGGGTTTGAGCCGCTTTGAGGGAGAAAGGCGCCGGGGATGGTGCTGGGATCTGGATGGACAATGTCCAAGTTGAACGGAGTGAGGCATTGCTGAACTGGTTGTGTCCCAGGTTCCCAGAGTCCCTCAAAACGCGCAGATGGGATGAGAAACCGATAGAAACCGGTCGGGGGAAGTTTTTGGACCTTTGAAGGGCAAATTAAGCGGCTCTGGCAACTTGAGTTCGGGGCGGGTACATCCTGGATTGGAGGAGGACTTGCAGCAGAGCCTGGCAAGGGTGCGGGTGCACCTCTTCAAAGTGGTGAGGAACTTCCTGAGAGAAAGCTCATGCTGTAGGGCCTCCTAAGTAGAACCCTTCGCAAGGGCTAGCGTGGGTTGGAGGCCTAACAAGGTTTCGTTGGGGGGAGTTGTCTGGAAAGCGTTAGGGGTGGCCAGGCCGGGGGTCGAGCATGTCGAGATATTTCGAGAAGCGCTCTTTCGGAGAGTAGGCTTCTGGAGGATGAGCTGACAGCGGGTTACCTCCTCGTACCTCCAGCCGAAGCCGCAAAGTTCCAACTGCAGGGTTTTGCAGCATTCAGTTTTTCATTCTTTATGTGCTTTATTGCGGGGAGACACGGCAGCACTTTCGCGATACCACGTTCGCATGCCTTGGGGTTGTGGGGTTGGGGGGTTGTGGGGTTGTGTGGTTGTGCGCGTGTGCGCGTGCGCGCTTGTGGTGTGCGTGTGTGGGGACGTGTGTGGGCGTGTGCGCTTGTGCGCTTTTGCGCGCGTGTGTGTTTGTTGTGTGTTTGTGGGTGTGTTTGTGGGTGTATGTGGTGCAACTTGTACTTGCAGGCCCTACAGCCTCTCCCTTGCACGGCGCATCGCCGAACCAGATCTTCATTTCACATGGATGGAGGACGGATGGTGCGAAGTTTTTGCTGCTCGAGTTGTTGGCAAGCACCTCCGCCGCTTCCCCCTCACGCACTCAAAGCTCATCGGGTTCTGTTCCTTATGTAGGAGTTCCTTCCGCCAGACTCGTACGATGGCTACGAAGAGGTCATGAAGGCAGTTGGACGCTTGGTGGCTAGCCCGTCTCGTTATTCGGCCAAGTGCGCTCAGGGTGGGTCTTTTCGAAGGCAGGGAAAAGGTACATGTGTCGAATTGTGTGTGTGTGTGTGTGTTGTGCGGTTTAACATGCAGAACGTAGCGGCTGTGGAAGTGGTCGTGGGAAATCCTGCGCACTTCTGTGCCCTTCCATTCGAAACGTGCACGCTCACCACCGCTGGTGCCCAGTGCAGCGGATGTATCTACGTCCATAGGTAAGAGGGTCTTGGACAGATGCCAACCCAAGGAAGTTTGGGCTTGATGTTGACAACAGGCAGGCATTGCCGCGCTTGTTGAGATCATGCGCAGCAAGAGCACAGCATGCGTTGCCTGATGCAGTGAACCTCTAGCAAGCTACTGGGAACGTCTCCACTATCTTTGGCGACAGATTTTGCGAGGTGAGCATGAGTACACCCGCTGGGGCTTTAAGCAGCTGATCGACAGGCCCGTCCAATTCATCAAATGCTTGAGACCTCTCCCGAATGAGACTGGCTGTGGTGATCGATTTGCCTGCGAAAGCTTGTCATGTCTTGAATGCTCGGATGATTCGCAGACACAGGCTCCAGTTTTCAAGCCTTGGCCTCGATCTCCTAGTACATGCAATGTGAAAGCGATCCGTTGTCACTCCGCTTCGTGGCCAAGCCAATACCGAAGCATAGAGCTGGCGCCGCCGCCGAGAAGCAAGATGCGGGTGCCGCGGGTGCCCCGGATGCTGAGGATGCTGCGGATGCCTTGATCACCTTTACTTTCCGCCCAGAAGATGTACTAGGCCGCCAGGTTCAGGGGTTCCACATGTTGGCTCTTCATCCCATGGCTCCGAACTTCTCTGAAGACTTTATCTCTTTGACCTTCAGGCGTCGGCGCATCGTGTGTGGTTCTCGGCGTCCATCAGCTTGGCGGAGCCAAGTCTGCCCAACCACTGGCCGCAAAGTTCCTCACCAGCGCTGGGGCAGCTGAAGCTTTGTGTGAGACACATGAAGCAGAAATGCTTCTGGCTGCTAGCAGCCCGAATATTATTCAATGTCACGGTTCCTTACCTGCAAGCAGACTTGATTCTTTGCTTCATTGAGTTGACATGGTATTCTCATGCGTACGAGTGCTCTGTAGGCTAGAGGATCTAGAGGGTGTCGTTGCAAAATTTTTGGCAACCCGCAGCTATCCGAGGCATTTTCGAAGTGGAACTGGACCAGAGTCCCAAGTTACACGGTGCATTCGCTACCATCATGAAGCACAAGAAGAAGAGCACGGCCGGGCATTGTGCCCGAATTGACATCCACACAAGCCGCACCACCGTGCAACATGGGGCTTCGGGTTTGACTCGGACTTAAGGGTTGAAAGTTGGGCGTTGGGGAGTTTTGGGGTTTGGGATGGTCTTTGGGTGCAAATCCCGAAGGATAGTGGCCGTTAAAGTCGTTAAAGTCGTTAAAGCTCCTAAAGTGCCAGAGCCACTGAGCCAAGCTGTAAAGCCCAGAGGTGGACTCCTTGAGGAGATGTGCATTGCTGTTGCTGGCAACTTGGCGAAACCATTGCGGGAGGGTACAGCAAAACCATTCTGGATCTAGATGGATCTAGCACCTCCAAAAAGTCTTCTAGTGTAATCAGTGTAGTCATGACCTTCATGACCTTGTTCGGTAGCTCCGACGAGCCTAGACAGCCAACAATTCTTTGAGGATCGATGCGAGAGCAGCTTGTACAGCCTGGCGCAGACAGCGTCTTTCAAGGAGCCTGTGCTAGCTTGCGCTCTTGTGATGATCAGCAGCAGTACCACGCTTCAATGGAGAGCCCATTGCGAGGAAGGTGTTGCCGCGTTCGTCATCCATTCGGCGCTTTGTGGCCTTCAGCACCTGCATGCTCTTGGGATGGTACACCGGGACGTGAAAGATGCCAACATCATGGCAGCATGCCTGCATGCAAAATTGTTCCGCTGTTTGTGTTTGGATGCTTCGGAATGTTTGTGTCAGTTTTCTGAGCCGCGGGCTGGATAATTTGATAGAAGTCTGGAGAGTGCCGGGCTGGACAGGACGCAGCATCATGCAACAAAACAGTTTGATATTGATGCGTTGAGATGCAGTCTCAGGCGGTTTCGGCTGAGGTCCAAGATGCGGGACGTCGAGTTGTGTTAGCAGACTTTGACCTGGCAACCTACTTGCCAGAAGGCACGGCAGTCTGAAACATAGGGGCAGTACAGGGGCTGAGGCTTTTGCCGGACTTGTGACCTGGACTTGGGCTGGCAATTGCAAGCGGTTTTTTGGTCCCAGGCGAAAGCACGACAAAGTGGACTTGCGGCACGCTCGGCTGCTCAGATGCTTCAGGAAGCTTGTGTCAACCCATGGAAGCATGGGGTGTTCTGCCTGTGCCTAGGCTTTCTGGCCCCAGAGATCTATCAAAAGCGTCTGGGTGGTACGCCGGCGGACGTTTTTGCTCTGGGCGTCGTGCTCTATTTCCTCCTGACCAGAAGCACACTGGCTTTCCCAAACAGATTATCGATGCGGCATGTTATGCTGTTGTGCTGGTCTCGCTTGCAATGATGGGGTGTGGTTTCAGTTGGCAACGCACTTCGTCAACATGGTAACGCCAATGCCGTTCTCTTTGTCTGAGGCCATGCATTTTTGCGAGATTCAAATCTGGAGACCGAGATCGCTACCAAAACCAACAGGTGGAGCCTAGGAAGTAGTTTGCATGCAGCCTCTTCTGTGCTTGCAAACATCCAGCAAGGGAGAAAAGCAGACGCCGTTGAGGCAAACTAGTGTCTGCAAAGACAGCAAACCAGCTGCCTTGCGACAGGCTACCTGTCGAAGGTGATCTGCTGCGTGCGTTCCGCAGCGACGACGCGTGTGAGTTGGTGTGCCTTCGATTGAATGGACACCGAACAGAGTTAAGATAGCTGTGAGTCTGTGAGTTCTTGATGTAGGCAGCAGTGTGACTTGAATCACTTGAATGCACACAATTGGACTTGTGCCTGATTGTGCCCGCATGCACTCTGATTGTGAGGTTTTGGCTCATCAATCCATCGGTCGAGAAGCGTGCCTCCGCTTCGGACGCCTTGACGAGCGAGTGGTTCTACTTCCAGGTCAAGTGGCATGGGCAAGAGGGGCAAAGATTCAGAAGACGACATCTTGCCGTTTCTGGTTGGTTCCCCAACTAGCTGCAGGGTAGATCTGGTGTTGGGGTCGAACTCACTGAACTTCACAGAACAGTGTCATCATGTCATCGTCGCACTACGTTCTTTTCGTTCTGACTCGAGGTGCGCTCGTGGCCAACATAGGTCAAAATCTTGGCCACGATCGTTCCCCTAGTTCTCCAAACAGTGTACTCCCTGTCTTCGCTGTGTCTCCCTTCACGTGGGTGGCCCTACCTAGTAGCCGGTTCTTGTGCTTTTTGTCTTCCCTTCGTCTCTCTTTGTCTGGTCGACGATATCTTGTTGTTGGCTGCCGGCTCTGCCAGAATCGTTTGTTTTTGAGTTCCTGTCCCGGTGAATCATCCACGCCTGGGATGTGCTTTGTTCAATGAAAACGGACAGCTTGGCTCTTTGACCCAGATCGAGAAGTTCTGAAGGTTGCAGTCTGCCCGACCGTTCGGGACAACTCCTCGGGCACGCCGTCGGTGGGGAGGGTGCGTCGCTTTTCTTCTCGCGGTTTGCCCGGCTGAGTTTGAAATGGTAGTCTGCTCGGCTCCACGTTGGAGTGGCGGCAGTTCTTCTGTGCTAGCCAGGTATTTTGCTGCGTTCGCTCTCTTGAGTCGGGCACGTGCGGCATGTTTCATGAGCTTTGGTGAACTGATTTCATTCTGACATTGCGACGAACTGGCATGGCAACACCCTCAAAGGAGCCGGATGGTCTTGCCCGTCTTCTCCGTGAGCAGAAACCCAAGAGTGAGTTCTTGCAGAAGTTGCTGAACTGCAAGTAAGTCTGAAAGCCTTGCAACGGGAACCCGAGGCGAAACTTCTGATACAACCTTGCGCAGTTTTTTGTGGCTTCAGCTATCCTTCCGTGCATCAGTATGCGTACTGATGCAATATGATACAGTACTAGACATGCCTCCAGCATCCTCCAGCATGTATATTCAAGTAGAAGTTACGTGTCGTCCAAGCAATTTTGAAGTGATCCTTCTCCGTGAGCGAAATCCCCTGTAATGGTGCTAAGAAGAAGCTTCTATGGCGGTGCGCGAGGCAAGGGGCGTGAATGTTGCTTCTGATCCCAGGTCGAATCCCGACTCCTCAATGCGTCTCGCGCATGACGGTCTGGATAGCGCATCGCAGCCAATGATGACAAGAATAGCATCCCAGCCATCGCGGCCTACACCGAAGCAGACACCTTGGCTTGTTGAAGGATGTGTGAGTTGGAGCGTGAACGGCCTGTCGTTGCCACAACAGATTCCCCGACGTGTGATGTTGAACGGCCGGCTTTCCTAGCGTGTGTCCGTGTGTCTCTGTGTGTGTGTGTGTGTGTGTGTGTCTCTGTGTGTGTGTGTGTGTTTGCGTCTGTGTCTTGTGTCTGTGTCTGTGTCTGTGTTTGTGTTTGTGTCTGTGTCTCTCTGTGTGTGTGTGTGTTTTCTATGTCTGTGTGTCTGTGTCTGTGTGTGTTCTGTATCTGTGTGTGTTCCGTGTCTGTGTCTGTGTCTGTGTCGGTGTCGGTGTCTGTGTCTGTGTCTGTGTCTGTGTCTGTGTCTGTGTGGGTGTGAGTGTGAGTGCAAGTGAGAGTGTGTGTGTATGTGTGTCTCTGTCTCTGTCTCTGTCTCTGTCTCTGTCTGTGTCTGTGTCTGTGTCTCTGTCTCTGTCTGTGTCTGTGTCTGTGTCTGTGTCTGGTGTCTATGTCTGTGTCTGTGTCTCTGTGTGTGTGTATATATCTAAGTCTGTGTCTGTGTGTGTGTCTGTGTCTGTTCCTGTGCCTGTGTCTGTGTCTGTGTCTGTGTCTGTTTCTGTTTCTGTGTCTGTGTCTGTGTCCGTGTCTGTGTTCTGTGTTCTGTGTCTGTGTCTGTGTCTGTGTGTGTGTGTGGGTGTGTTCTTTGTCTGTGTCTCTGTGTCTGTGAGTGTTCTGTGTCTGTGTGTGTTCTGTGTCTGTGTGTCTGTGTCTGTGTCTCTGTGTCTGTGTCTCTGTGTCTGTGTGTCTGTGTCTGTGTGTCCGTGTCTGTGTGTCTGTGTCTGTGTCTCTGTGTCTCTGTGTCTCTGTGTCTGTGTCTCTGTGTCTGTGTCTCTGTCTCTCTGTGTCTCTATCTCTCTGTGTCTCTGTGTCTCTGTGTCTCTGTGTCTCTGTGTCTCTGTGTCTCTGTGTCTCTGCGTCTCTGCGTCTCTGGGTCTCTGGGTCTCTGGGTCTCTGGGTGTGTGGGTGTGTGGGTGTGTGGGTGTGTGGGTGTGTGGGTGTGTGGGTGTGTGGGTGTGTGGGTGTGTGGGTGTGTGGGTGTGTGGGTGTGTTGGTGTGTGGGTGTGTGGGTGTGTGGGTGTGTGGGTGTGTGGGTGTGTGGGTGTGTGGGTGTGTGGGTGTGTGGGTGTGTGGGTGTGTGGGTGGGTGTGTGTTGGTTGGTGGGTGGTTGGTGGGTGGGTGTGTGTGGGTGTGTGTGGGTGGGTGGGTGGGTGGGTGGGTGGGTGCCAGGGTGTGCGTGGGTGTGCGAGGGTGTGTGTGGGTGTGTGTGGGTGTGTGGGGGCGGGGGGTGTGTGTGTGGGTGTGCGGGGGGGTGTGGGTGTGTGGGTTTTCGGGGGGGGGGGGGGGGGGGGTGTGTGGGGGTGTGGGTGTGTGGGTGCGTGGGTGCGTGGGCGCGTGGGTGCGTGGGTGTGTGGGTGCGTGGGTGTCTGGGTGCCTGGGTGCCTGGGTGTCTGGGTGTGGGTGTGTATGTGTGTTTGAAAACAGTGAACCCCTCACCAGCAACCAATTGAAAAGCGGCACGCCCAGGACATCCGGGCACAAGCTGAAGAAGATGGCGTTCCTGGGTGCACCACTGCCCGAGAAGAAGCACCGATCTTCTCGCAATATCATGCAGCAGTTGGGCTCATCAGCTCGAAGAGCTCTGGCGACCGCCTCTAGCGCATTGATGTCGCTCACCACAAGCGTCAAGCAAACGAAAGTTCATGTGGAGCCTGAGTTTGATGGCGTTTTTGTTCCATAATTAGTCTGCTTGACAGTTTCGCACGTAGGCTGCGATTGGAGCATGTGCATACAAGGATGGGCTAAATAGCAAGCCTCAGATTAGGCAGAGGGGTTTCATTTCAAAAGCAAGTTACAGTGGTTGGATAGCTTAATGCAGCTTATTAAAGCAGTGGCGTGTCTCAGTCTTCTGCGGAGATTTTTGAACTTCTGGCAGTTGAGCGACGACGCAAGTCTTGTCAGCTCTCCTGTTCAATTTTCTATTGCCTTGCAGCTTGCTCAACGTTCTTGCAGCAGGTTCCGGGCACAGCACTGAGAGATGCCAAGGGTCTGCATGTGCCTTGCACGCATCTTGAAAGTGGAGCACTTTCCTGTAGCCGCACAGCCCAAAACATCTCCCTCGGGATCGCTGCGGAGCAGCCTTTGGATCCCAATGGGCAGTTGGCAGTGTCTCAAGGAGTACGCTTGAGTACACCAAACATTTTTAAATGTATTTCAAACCCCCCGGTTCGTGACCAGAGTCTGCTATGGGAGCATGCAGGCGATTGGCTTGCGTCATTGTACACCATCTTACAAACAAGAAGACAAGAAGTGTGAGAGCTTGCAAGAGTGAGAGCTGATGCTGTCGAAAATATCTGTTTTGGAGGAAGGCGGCTCACATTCTCCAGCCTGATATCACCTGGCTGGGTGGAATCACTGAGGCGTCCTTCTGTGATTTCTGTGTTCCGTTCCTTCCCTGTGGCCTTGCCGTGATGTGCAGATGAGCAGCGCACGGTTCTTCTCTGCCGCAGCCGTCAAGGCTCAAGCTCTCCGTTGAGCCAGGCGCCAGGCGTCTAGCATGCCAAAACAGGTGGCTTCTCTTGCATTCTTTGCATGTCTTTGCTGTCTGCAATTCAGGCCTTGCTCTCGTGCCCTTCCCTCGCAAAGGCCATAACCACGCGGATAAAATCGCACACGCGGCTAACAGACTCTCAGTCTCGCAAAGTGGGTTCGGGCACGCTCATGGCAAGGTCTTGTGCAAATGCCAGTACATGTTAGGGTGTGCTTTCCTGCAATTTAGATCTTCCGACAGTGAACCTAAGGACCAGTACCCATGGGTGGAGGCTTTGGTAGTCTTGCGCTCGAAGAAGCTGTCGGCAACAAACAGTGTGTCCGAGTCCTCGACTGACATCTTTAGGTACGGGGTCAGAGCTGCGCAGGATTGTGAGGGCGTAGAAGGGGCCAGGAGCGATTTTGCAGTGCAGGTGGTCCTTAGACTACTCGGTGCGTGTGGGACAACCATTCTGTTTGGCATCCGCTTGGTCATCGCCGAGTTCTTGTTCGGAATCATGGCGCCTTGTTGCAACGAGAAGTTGCCAAACTGCGTGCTGTTGCAATCGATGTGCGGCCGACGTCGTCCAACGTTTCTGTTGTTCATCGTCTCGCCGTCTCTTCGCATCGCCGGAGCTCACATTACGTTCATGTTTGCTCCATTTTCTGGAGGCCTGGGCACCAGTGAGAGCCGCTGGGGCGCTGCTGGCGGCGGTGCCCTTGGTCTACACAGGCCGCTCTAACGCCGGGGACCCTGCTTCGCGATCTGGACGTGCTTCGCGCAGTTGCTTGGCGTGCCTGTGTTCTCCGATTGTTGTTGATGACTGCCGAGTTTCAGAACCTCATAAGCTGCAGAAGCACGGCAGAGGCACACATATTGCAAGGGCTTCCTTGCTGCCGGCACAGCTCTGTGTGGCATGAGCAGACCTGAGAGTCAAGGTCAAGTCGTCAATCCCCTCACATCCCGCAACACATAGGGCCATAGGCCGCAGAATGCTAGCATCTTCCCCGGGCAGGCCCTGGTGGAGTTTTCAAAGCTTCTGGGCATGAGCGGACCGTTCATCTGGTCCGAGGCTAAGGACATCTGTTCTGAGCCTGCCATACTCAGAAGGCCCACTCCGAGTTTCCTTGGCTTTGCCTTGAGGTTTGCCCTTCGCTGTCTTGACTGGGAGCTCGGAGTGCGTGATTTGGCTTATGTGGAAGGTCTGGGGAGGGGTCTGAGCAGAAGGGGCGACTAGTTCAGCAAATGTGCGCTAAATTCACAACTTCTCAGTACTTTCCAGTCCCCCTCGGCATCCAGACCATGTTCAATGAGACAAGTCTAAGGAGCAATGATTGGTGCCCTCTCCTTCAACCTCATAGTACTGCTGGTGAGATTGCTTCTGAGCCAGAAAAACAGCAAGATGCCAGAGAAGGAGGATAAGAAGCCCCTCGGTCACGCAAGAGAGATCAGAAAGTCATGTGTGTTTCTGAGATGTACGGCAGATTGCACGGCTTAACTTGAGTGTGCGACAGGACTCTATTCTGCCTTGTGCTACGTGATGCCTTGTGCATGAGGAAGAGCACGAAGAAAACGTGACTTTTCAAACGCCCAGCTGCCCAGCTTGGATGCAGGCGTGTACCCGTGAGCAGCCACGAATCTTGCCACAAGATCAGCATTTCACATGTCGAAAAATCGATTTACTGATAGCCTTTGCTTCATGTGTTGGGGGGTGGGGGGAATTTGGCTTTCGGTTCTGATTTGTGGACTTTCGATCAGGAAGTTTCGCGTCGGCGTCTGTGTAGACCTTCCAGAGTTTCTGCGCAGCAATCTGGTCCAATGCCTGGCATGCACAAGCGGTCTTGCTGGATGCTTACCACATGAGCACATTGCTTGGCACACCTGTGTGTTTCTCATGTCAGGCTGGTGGGCGTGAGTACAAGTGCGCCTGACGGGGAAATGTTGGGACGTAGTCTCTGTTTTTGTCTCCCAAGTCATGGCAGTTCATTGGCAGTTCTCGTGTCATTGGCATTGGTCAGTAGCGAGATTCCGAGCATCCTGTCGAGCATCCTGTTGGCTTCGGCTTCCTGTGATGGGCTCGTCTGGGTTCGTCTTGGCAAAGTGCCATGGAGCCTATGGAGTCTATGGAGTCTATGGAGTCTCACGACTTTTCACGACGTTCTAGACTTGGAATCCTGAAAACGCCTAGAATGCCGTGCCACCGGCAAGAAGGGCAAAGTAGTGTTAGTACGTGTCAGTACAGTAGCGTCCATTTTCGAGGAATCCAAGCCGTGCTCCGAAGGCCTGCACCGGGGCGCGGGATCAGGAGGTCATGCTTCTCACTCCGTCAGACCACCTGGACCTGGACCTTGCTATCATTGCTATCAGTAGCTAGTGGACCCTTTTGAAGAAGCAGCTCTCGCTCATTGACATAATGTTTGTCGGCAGCGACAGCCAGGATGGTGCTTCGCCGATGGTTCTCTGAGTTCACAATGTGGACGTTGTAAAATGCTGAATGGAGGTGCTCGAGCACCCTTCAAGAAGCCCTCGGGGTAGACCCCAGCGGTCCTTCAATACCCGCCCACAGCGCCTTAGTTTCTAACATCCCTTGGCATTCGGGGGCTTCGGCGGAAGATCACACAGACTCGTGCCTCGCTTTCCTGTGGGTGCACTTCAAAAGGGATGCGCAGCATGCCCGACACACCAACCCCGAACCCGCAGGCGAACCCACATGAACGCCAAGTGCCCCCAATCTTCCCGAAATTGACTCGCAAGCGAGCCATCGCAAGCCACTGCAAGTGTTCCTTTCCTGTTTCTCGCGCATCAACTGCGCCTCTGTACTTCGCAAGGCCCGGCGTGTAATGGCCTTGGCTGCTTCGAGCGATGTCTTGGTAGCAGCTCGGAGAACTGAGAACTTCAAGTCTTCCTTGTGTGGAGAGTATGCCCTTCCCCATGTGACATGCAGGTGACGTGACTTGAGGTTGGTGTTGTGACCTTTCGGAGGTGAGAGATGTGGTGAGACTTGTGTTACCTGTACCGAGTGGGCTCCACACTTCGGCAAGCTAGGGGCCGAGTAACGGCAAGTTTGAGTCACCTCAAAAGCCAACCAAACTTTAGGGCCTTTAATTTAGGGGTGCGGCTTTAGCCTTGGACACTAAAGCTTTTTGGGCTTTAGCGGGATTTACCCAAGCTCCAGCGCCAGCACCCCCTAGGTGCCGCATGGTTCGTCCATCTACTCGTATCACCTCCAGATCCTCGCCAGCATTGCAACAAGACATTTCTCCAACTTGCGAGACACCAGAGCAGTGGTGATTTTGTGCACCGAGGACGTAGAGTCGAATTGACGTACAGGACGTAGATAGAGCCTGCAGAAAAGCCAAGTGTTTTTTTTGAGAGTCCGGACAGTTGCCGTTCGACAGTCCATCAGCGGATGGAAGGGAGTGTTGCATGGGTTCAATCGGGTCTGTTGAGATAGGCAGGTCGCCAGAATAAGCCAAGCAAGGTACATATGGGCAGCTCCTTTAAATTGTCGGTTCGAAGAAAATATTTTCTTTTGCTTGATCACACACGAACACGCAAACACACGAACGTACAACCACACAACAACCACAAACAAAACACACAGCCACACACTACACACACGCACATCCACCCACCCACCCACACACACCCACCCACACACACACACACACACACAGAAACGGCAACAGAGCAAAAACAGAAGCACAAGCACAAGCAGAATCACAAGCCACGCAAGCGCAAACGCAAAGGCAAACGCAAACGCCAACACCCAAGCACAAACGCACACACACACACACACACATACACACACACACACACAAACAACAGGCACAAACACAAACACAAGCACAAGCACAACCGCAAGCACAAGCACAAGCGCAAACACAAAACACATAAAAAAAAAAAAAACACAAAAACGCAAAAATGCAAAAACACAAAAAAGCACAACAACACAAGAACACAAGAACACAGAAACACAAAAACGCAAAACCACAAAAAACAACAAGAACACAAAACAACACAAAACCACAAAAGCACGAAAACACACAAACACACAAACAAAAACACACAAACACAACATCACAAACAACACAAAACTACACAAACACACAAACACACAAACACACAAACACACAACCACAAAACCACAAAAACACAAAAACACAAAAACACAAAAAAAACAAAAAACAACACAAGAACACAACACAAAAGCACAAAAAACACAAAAACACACACACAAAAAAAACACACACACGCACACACACACAAACACAAACACAAACAGACAAGCACAAGCACACAATCACGAATGTGAAAGCAAAACACGAACAGAAACAGAAACATACATACAAACAGAAGCACAAACTGATACGCACGCACAAGCATCACACAAAGATACACAGCGCACACGGATGGACACAGATGCATACGGTCGTGTGCAGTGGGGCCAGCGCAAAGGGCATGGAGGAGGCCAGCAGAGCAGGGCCCCCTAAGACGCCCCTCCATGCCTTTGTCTTCGTCCTCAGCTCCCCTCCCCTACCCTCGCACGCAGCAAACGGTCTCTGGTGCAAGGGTTAGTGTCTAAAATGCTGGTCTTCTCCGGAACAAATAGAACAGACACACTACATGCCTCGCATGTCTCTCATGAACCCGCGTCCTCTTCTTAGGTTTGCCTTCACCAACGCGCCCCTCGGCCACGACCTCGGAAACTCTCCTCAAGAGAGGGGGGATGCTGCGGGATGCTTTTCACAGATTCTTCGCTCCTGTTGCGCAGAAGCGAAGCCAAAGGCCGACTAGTTCGTCTGAATTCCTCCAATCCTCTTGCTGTTAGCTGAACTCCCAAAGAGGTGAGTTCATCAACTTGTCGACAGATGGTACAGAGGCATGGTCAGTTGCAGCCGCTTCCGCAGTGGCATGGAAGCCTGCATGTGCTGTAAGTGCTGGCAAGTTGGTTAGCCTGTTGGGGTGCAACAGCCGGGCAGATCCAGCCGTACTTCGGGGGCCTCTTTGAGGATGAGCCCTTGCCAAAGGAGCCTCCGGATTTTGGGCTCATCTTTTTCCAGCGTGGCGAAGAACCTGAAGTTTGGTAAGAAAGGTCAATATGAGATTTGCATACAATTCATGTTTTTGATCTTCCTCTTGTTATGAAGAGCGCTAGAAAAGGGAGAAGAGACGTTTTAAGCATGCTAAAGGCGAAATGAGTGGGAGGACGGGAAGATCACTCTGGAGCAGCTCGCTCGACCTGGCTTCGGCTGCACCCTGCGCCGCTCCAACCTGAAGCGGCCTTGCCCCCGCACCAGCGAGGTGCGCTCCGCACCAGCGTCTTGAGATTTGAGAGCCCCAATCCTCTTCTTTCATAGAGAGAGAGAGAGAGAGAGAGAGAGAGAGAGAGAGAGAGAGTGAGAGAGAGAGAAAGAGAGAAAGAGAGAAAGAGAGAGAGAGAGAGAGAGACCCCCTCCCTTCGGGGGGGTCATGCGTGGGGGAGAGAGAGAGAGAGAGAGCGAGAGAGGATCACTGGAGCACATCCTTCGGGACGACCCCTTCGGGGGTTAAGTGCTGTGGAAGGAAGAGAGGGAGAGAGAGAAAGAGAGAGAAAGAGAGAGAGAGACAAAAAGAGAGAGAGAGAGAGAGAGAGCGAGAGAGAGAGAGTCGTCCGCTGTTGGAATGGGGAAAATTTCACACCCCCGGGGGAACGAACAGTAGTTTAACGACGAACATGCAGATGGGCGCGCTTCGGCGCGAGGGGTCTTCCGGGCCCCCCAGGCCCTGCAGAAGAAGAAGAAGAAGAAGAAGAAGAAGAAGAAGAAGAGGAAGAAGAAGAAGAAGAGGAAGAAGAGGAAGAAGAAGAAGAAGAAGAAGAGGAAGAAGAAGAAGAAGAAGAAGAAGAAGAAGAAGAAGAAGAAGAAGAAGAAGAAGAAGTCGTCCGCTGTCTAGTCCGCCAGGCGTCGGCAGCCAATTTCAAGCGCAACGCGACCTTGGGAGATGCCGCGGCGCCCGCCGTCCCTCCGCCAGCCTTGCTCCACAAAAAATCGTCACCTTGGCCCTTCTTGTTCCATGTCGCACCAGGTCATGCCTTTGGTCGGGACATGCAGGTTTTGAGCCCTATGGCCTGGAATGGTTTCTGCCCGAACAGAAAAAGGCTCTGAACCGAATGCCTGCTGCCAAGCGGTGTTGATCTGTCGATGGGCAATTTCGTGGCAAAAACTTGTGCCGGAACTTTCCTGTCACGGAAGCCGTTGACCTCAAGCTTGGCTCACAGCTGCGTAGCCTTTGGGCAGTTGAAGGCCTTGTGGTTCAGGTCCGCTCGGCTGGGCCCTGAGTTCGGACATAGATCATGTCTTACCTGGACCTTGTGCAAACCCGTCATGCGAGGCTTGTGCTTTTAAATAAGGGAGCCGCCCCCCCAACCCCTCCTCCCTTTTTTTTTTGAAGCCTTGCAAGGTTGCTGTTTCAGAAGTATTAAAATAGAGGACTTGCATTAAGAAGCCATGCAAAGCTTTTGCAAACCCGTCATGCCAGCATTGTGTTTGCACATGGGGGGAAATAGCGGGCGCAAGCCCACCGCTGTTTCATATCTTGTGAAGCTTTGCAAGATTGTTTCAGAACTAACAAGGCCTTACTTATTTCTTTTGAAGCCTTTTCGGCTTGCTTGAAAAAATTCATGCCAGAAAAGGGGATTTTTGTTAAGAACGCATGCACGTCCTTTTCCAAACCCGTCATGCGACCTTTGTGTTTCCAAAGCCGCCCCCCTCAACTCCCCAGCTGTTTATTTAGGAAAACCTTCCTTTTTGTTTGAAAGTAAGGAAACCTCTGTTTCCTCTGTATTCAGGGAAATCTTCATTTCCCCTATGTTTTAAACGGAAAACCTCTGTTGCCTCTGTAGTTTGATAGGGAAGCCTTTGTTTCTGTAATTTTGTAGGAAAACTGTTATTTTGCTCTGAAAAGGCTCTGTTTCCTTTATCTTACATGAGGCACCAGACCACAAGAAAGGTACAAAAGGCGAACACAAAAGGAGCAAACTAGTTCCTCGCCTTATTCGGACATGCTGGGACTGTAGTCCTTTGCAGAGTCACGGCATATTGCAAGACACTAAGGCTCTGTCCATGGCGACATACATCAACTATGGGGAGGGTGAGGCAGGGCCGCGGGGCTCGTTGCCGCATGTTGCTGCCCATTCTCTGCCATGCTTTCTTAATCTTTGCTGCGCTCGCGAAGGACGATGCAATTGTACAGGGAGCAGAGTGGCTGATGTGGGCCTCGGCATGATTTCAAAAATCTGCATTTGCAAATTTTGTTAGAGAGCGACAGATAGAGATGGAGAACAAGTCTCAAGATATACGTTCGGAGCGGACGTTGGAGAAGGGTGGTGTCAAAAAGGTGGCGTGGAGAGAGGTGGGAAGAGGGTTGAGACAGCAGAGGGTTAGCATGGGTTGAAGTCGCGATCGGCAGACTGAGAAGCAGCTCTGGTTTCATGTGTGTGATAATGTTTCTTGTGATTTCTTGTGCCTTTGCATCTGCCAGGAGACTGTTGCAAGTGCAGCAGGGAGCGGATGCAGAGAAAGCTTTTACCGAGAAGTTCAAGAAAGAGTTTCAGGCTTGGCTGCTTGTGCGCTGCTTGTGCTACAGACGTGACAGTGTGTCCAACTGTCTTGCACGTGCGAGGCGGTGCAAGACGCACCCAGGTACGACATCGCCCCTGTCTTCGACTTGTTCGTTGACTATAGTAAGGACTGAGCAGCTGCAGACAGAGCCATGATACCACAACTCGCCAGCATTGGATGTCCGAGAAGAGCTGTTCGTGTCCTCTGCATCATCTGTGATTCTGTGCTTATGATGGCCTTTTGGTGGCTTCCATGTCTTCTGCAAGAACCTGTTCACGGCCATTCCGGAGAACAAGCCTGAAGAGCGGCTGAAAGAGATCGAGGCAAATCGAATACCAAGCAGGATGTGATTGCGTTCTGTTCAGGACGCGCATGTGTAAACCTGACGACATGAAGACCCCGCATTGCAGCATGCATGCAAAGCTTGACAGTTTCTTTTACTGTCGCTTGCCGCTGCCAGAGCTTCTTCGCCTTGATTCTCAGCATGCTGTCCTACTTTGAGGCGCGCTGATCGCTGCTTTGCCCAGGCCTCGTAACAGTGTCGTCTGTTGAGTTGACTAACGACTAGGACAGCGAGCACTTGGACAAGTCGACGACAAGACTGTGCGAACTGTTGAGCACCGACACAGAACAGCCGTGGGCCGAGCATGGCTTGCGAGATTTGTCTTCTGCAATATTCCTGGGGCTTCGGGGTCAAATGCAATTGCAAACGCTTGCGCGCAAGGGCTCGGCAGCAAGGAAAAACCGTATAAAGCAGTGCTCTCAAGGGGGTAGTCCACAATAGCCCTCAGCCCCGCAGAGTAGTTCCATTGAAGAGTTCCCGGAACAGTGCAAGACCCCGGAGGCTCCGGATTCCAACAGAGAGCTTCAAGCCTGCAAGACTGCAGCCCGAAGCTCTGACACCTTAAGCCACCTTTCTGCCACCTCTCCGCCACCTCTCCGCCACCTCTCCGCCACTTTTCCGCCACCTTCATTTCGGATCCAGTTGTTGTTTCAGGGGGATATCCGAAAAATCAACATGACGGCTTGCTGGAACATTGAGAGGTTCCCGGCAGTTGAGGCCCCCGACAGGAGAGGGGGTCCACAAGATGGAAGATGCTACTGTTGGTTGGCGGCTGTGGACGTCCCAGGGCATCGTTCACGCCGTTCAAGCCCAGGGCAGGGACCCCCTTTCAGGTCACAAGTAAATTGAGGTGATGTGGGGCAATGTGAGGCGGATAACATGGACAAACAGAGCGTCGCTTCCTTGTCTAGGAGGGCCTAGAGCCAATGCCTACTGTAAGCCGTGCCGCTGTGCCCGCCGCGCAAGGCAGCCAGAGCTTCGGCTGCGACTCCTAATGATGTTGTACAACACGTTCAGCCCTCCTCTCCAGCCAGGGGCCCTGAAGCTGAGATCTTCACAGTCAAGCCTTTTCAAGCCTTTTCAAGCCTTCTCAAGCCTTTCAAGAATGCCATCAGTTCATCGTGTTCCATCGCAGGCAGAGATACAGGATCTTCAAGTGCCCGGATACTGGAGCTTTGCTTTAGAACGGCCTGCTTGCTGTTGGGATCATGCAAATCAACCCGTAGGCTTGAGTGCCTCAGATGTTGCGTCGTGGCACGTCGAAGCTCCATCAGGTACGCCTTGGACTATGCAGCAGCGGCTGACATGTTCGACCAGGCCGTGCCGCGAACTCCGCAGACCGGCTCTATGTTCTGGACCATTCTGGACCACTCTTGTCTAGACAGTCAGACAGGTCTTGCCCTATCTCGAGTACCTGGACTCCTGGATGGCATGACTTGCATGTTTAGTGCTGGCAATGGAACATGCCGAGGCTGCCGAGAGGTGATTTGTCCCTTGGCCAGGCAGATTGGGAGTCGTACCTCAAGATCGACGAGAAGCGAGCTCTTTATGCCGACATCTCTAGACACATGAGGCGCCGCATTCGCCAAATTCAATGCGCTGTATCTGGGTGAAGCATGGTGAAGCTTCGCTTTCCTTTTCAGGGGCTACGGCAAGAAGTCGGAAGCCTTCCAGTACCTAAAGCAGCCGGGACCTTGGGAGGATTTTGATAGCTCGCCGATTCCAAACAGCAGAATAAAGGCGATGTTGTCTGAAGTCTTGGTCCAGAGCCTGGAAAGTGCCAGTCGTTCCCTCTCTGCAAAAGCAATTTAGAAGAGACCACGACTGTTCTGGCAGACGCCGCCAATGTAAGCCAGTCGTGAAGCCAGGTCTTTACCGCACTGAGAACCGGAGAACATTGCAACAAGTTGGACTGTGCAAAAACAAGTTTCGTCAAATCTCGTCGTTATCCGGGAACGGAACCTGCAACCAAGACAAGTTCGTTGTGAAAGAGCTGATTAAATTGGAGCTCGGCGGACAGCACCAAAACCGAGTGCTGCAGGCAGTGAAGTCTGACTAGCAAAGGTGCATACAGGTAGATTCCAAGGCCCGAAGAAGACTTGCGCCTGAGCAGTAATGCAAAGATAGGAGACACTTTCGAAACGCTAGCTTAGACAGGAAAAGGAATTTTAGGGACTAGAGATTTTAGGGTGCAGGGATTTTAAGGTTGACGGATTTTGGGGTTTAGGGATTTTAGGGTGCAGGGATTATTACGGATTTTGGGGTTTGGAGATTTTCGGGTTTAGGATGGTTTAGGGATTTTCGGGTTTAGGGGTATTTAGGGTTTAGGGGCTGTAGGGTTTAGGGGTTTTAGGGTTTAGGGATTATAGGTTTAGGGAGTTTAGGGTTTAGAGATTTTAGGCTTTAGGCATCATGCTTTTAGAGGAGTTTAGGTTTAGTGGAATTTTAGCGTTTAGGGAGTTCAGGGATTTACGGGTTTAGGACTTTCAGCGTGTATGGATTTTAGGCTTTAGGGATGTTTGCACGTAGAGGTTTTTAGGGTTTCGAGGGTTAAGAGATTTTGGGCTTAGGGATTTTAGATCTATTTTTTTTCTGGGATTTCGGGTTTTTAGGGTTCAGGGATTTTAGGGTTTAGATTTGTTTGGCTTCGGGGTTTTAGGGTATAAGGAGCTAGGGATTTTAGGGTTTAGGGGTTATAGTGTTCAGAGATTTTGAGGTTTAGGGGTTTGAGGGTGTAGGGATGTTAAGGTTAAGGGGTTGTAGGGTTCAGGAAATTTCGGGTTTAGGGTTTGTAGGGTTCAGGGTTCAGGATATGTGGGTGTTTCGGGATTTCAAGGTTTAGGGGGGTGGAGCGTGTAGGGATTTTCGGGTTTAGGGTGTTCAGGTTTAGGGTTTAGGGTTTTCAGGGTTTAGGGATGTTCAGGTTTAGGGCTTTTAGGGTTCAGGGATGTCAGGGTGTACGGGTTGTAGGGTTGTGGGTTTTAGGTTTTAGGGGTTATAGGCGTTCAGAGGTTGAGGTTTGAGGGTTTAGGGATTTCAGGGTTTAGGTTTAGGGACTTGAGGGTTTAACAGTTTTTGGGTCTAGAGGTTATTGTGTTCAGAGATTTCAGGGCTTAGTTTTTTTTTTTTCTCTCAATTTTTGGGTTTAGGGGTTTCAGGGTTAGGGGGTGAGCGGGTTCAAGGGTTTTAGGGTTTAGGGTTTTTAGGGTTTATTGTTTTGGGGTTGAGGGGTGCCAGGGTTTTTGGGCTTTTAGGGTTTAGGGTTTTTGGGTTCAGGGATTTCGGGTTTCGGGGTCGGGTCCAGGGATTTTAGGGTTTAGGGGGTCTAGGGTCTGGGCATTTGAGGGTTTGGGGTTGTTAGGGATTAGGGATTTGGGATTTGGGATTTGAGGGTTTAGGGTCTTTCGGGTTTAGGGATCGGGGTCAGAGGGTTCAGGGTTTTTTAGGGTGCAGGGATTTTAGGATTTGGGGGTGTTAGGGTTTTTGGGGGGTTTTAGCATTCAGGGATTTTCGGTTTTGGGGATTTCAGGGTTTCGGAGTCAGAGGGTTCATGTATTTTCGTGCTCAGGGGTGTTTGCAAGGTTCAGGCATTTTAGGGTTTACTGTTTAGGGTTTAGGGGTTAGAGGGTTCTGAAACTTTTGGGGTGTAGGGTTTGTAGGCTTTAGGGGTTTCAGGGTTTAGAGCTTATAGGGCTTCGGGGTTGTAGGGTTCAGAGGTTTCAGTGCAGGGATTTTAGTTTCTAGCGGGGGCGGGGGGGCATTCAGGTTTGTTAGGTTTTCGGGTTTCAGGGTTTCTGTATTTTTGGATTTAGGTGTTGCAAGGTTCAGAGTTTTGGGTTTACAGGCTTTGGGATGTTTAGGGGTTATCAGGGATTTTAGGGTTTAGGTTTTTTTAGGGTTTAGGGTTCAGGCATTGTTGAGTTCAGGGATGGGGTTTGTTTGGGGATTCTATGAGTTAGGGATTTTAGCGATTTAGAGATTTTCGGGATTTTAGGGATTTTAGTTTTCAAGGTTCGGGATTTTTGGGTTCCGGGTAGTTAGGGTTTAGTGTTTAGGTGTGCTCGGGCCTGCAAGGTTCAGGGTCAACTTGAAAGGTGACCTGGGGCTTTGACGTTTCAGGGTTTTAAGCTTCTATGGCTTCTGGCGTACTCCTTTTTTTGCGATCGCTTTCTGGTTCGCTGTCCTGTTTTCTGACTCGTGCCCATGCCGTTTTCGGACTTGCGCCTGCCCGTTTTTAGACGGCCCATTTCGTTTTGGAGACTCGCCTTCCCGCACCCATTTGAGGTACCATGGCCTCTTCCAGGGCGCGGCTTCGGAGGCCCTGACCAAACCAGAGGCCGGCTGTTGGATTCCATCTCTGAAGATTACTGAAAGCACGTTTCGGAAGTCCAGTTCCATTGCAGTACTCAGATCTCTGTTCGAGCAGGGTCACCTCAGTACTAGTACTGGTATATCGAGGTCCCTTCCGCAGGACACGCCTGAAGTCATAATCTCCAGGTCGTTGAACAGACCATCCAGCTGATCAAGGACATCCGTGCGCAGGGATCATGCAGCTGGTTATGCGAGGATTGAGAGTTTAGCACCTCAATCGAAATGTTTGTCCAGTCCAGGATGCAGTGATGCTCCCAGCTGTGATTCAGTTCGACGACATTTTGATGCTGGACTCGGTCAAGGCAAGCTTTTGAAGGAACGCTGTTGAATACATGTGTGGTCCATGTCCCGCATGTCGGAGGCCTTGCGGAGCACCTCGCAGGGAAACCTTGTGGGCTTGTGCGAAATCTTCTTGCATCTGACCCAGGCAGTGCGGAGATTTCCTTTCTTCCATGACGCTCCAAGATTGTTTCCAAGGTCTGGTTCTGTAGATGACCTCAAGGACATGCAGATGAACAAAAAATGTGCCAAGGCTTGTTTCAATTCTGCCTGTGAATTTGCCAACGCTTCCTGCAGGACTTCCACAAGAAGAACGAAAAGCTCTTCGACGAGCATTCCCTGAACTTTCAGGCAGATCATAGCAGCATTCTTTCTTCCAAAGACGCAGCGCCACATCATGGAACACAGACAGAAGAGGCACAGGCTCACAGTTTCTGGTTGAATGAGAGTTGAATGCAGCTTGGAAGGACGCGATGTCCAAGATTAGACTTCTGACCTTGGCCACCATGGCTCGGGGACAGCCAGTGTCCCAATTCTGCAGAACTACGAGAACCTAGACATGAGTCACTCATGATGGATGCTTAGGTCGGAACTTCCTTTAGACGACATCGCAAAGCGCATCCAGGAGCTTAGGGGCCAGTGGCCAGCGTAGGATTCTCTTTGCACAATTTTGCACATCTTCTCCAGGAGAGCCCCACGGCAGTTGAGCCTTGGGTGGTTCGGGCGATCTCGGAGGGAGTCATTGACGGCCGCATTGACCAGCTGAACCGGAAGGCGTGATGGCATGAGTCCATGTACTTAAGCACTTACGTCATCGGCATCATCTTGCAGACTGGAAGTCGGAACCTGAGCATGGATTTTGTTCAGGTGCTCGTGAAATCAGCCTTCTTGCGCAAGTTTGAGAAGGAGGACACGGAGGGGGCAAGGTTCCCAAGAGGCTTGAAAGACCGACAGTTCTGCAAAGTTCAGGAGTGGAACTTCTTGGATTCCAAGCCACGGCCGCAGTTCATTGAAGCGCATGCGGGATGTGCGAAGGTGGCAAGAGAGCATCCTTCGGCTTGCAGGTTATCGCATTGGATCGAGAACTTGGAGCAAGTAATCAAGTTCCTTGGTGAGCAAAAAAACAAGACCGAGGCGGGACGGACGGCCGAAAGTCCCAGTGGTATGCCGGATAAACATTTTGACTTTCAGGCTCTGACAGCCTAGACGTTTTTGTCTGATGCTGGCCAAGCGCGTGCTGGCCTTACTGCAGTAGTGACTCATGGCCACTAGCCGCTAGTTCATCGCAATATGCAGCACTTTTGCGACATGGTACATAGGCTCACTAGGTACACAAACGAGAAAGCAAGCCAATCCTTTTCAGGTGCTCAAACGAGCCGAGCCACCTTGCGCTGCCTTGGCGAGTACGTTTCCTCTTCTGACCTCCGGCCACCCAGCACCTTCGGGCAGACGAGACCAGACTTTGCGCATGAATGCTTAACATGTTAGCTCAGACCCTGGTAGAACACAATGTAACACACACAGCACCGAACACAATGCAGTCACCCTGGTGCCCGTGAGAGTAACGTCGCTCGAAGAATCGTGTACAAATTACCATGCAGGCCGTCGTGCAATCTGTAGAGGGTGTAAGCGCTTGCGACACGGCTCAGATGGCAGAATGCCGGATCAGGCAAACAAAAATGTCACCGTGTGACTCCTGCTTGCTTTACATCTTGCCTGCATGCCTCATTCCAGGGCTGGTCGTGGGCTGCTGCTGAGCTGTTCGGATTTGCCTGTAGAGTCAATCAGCTGCAAATACCCCCTGGCAATAAATGTTCTTGTCGTTTCGGCATGTCCGTGCCTGCTCATGCGCAGGAGGCTCACCTGGCACTTCCGCTCCTTCTCAGATGCCTGGCCGTCATGTTGTAGGATGTTGTTGCCAGGGGCATGGCAGCATTCCTGCCATACTCGTAGCAGCTACAGCTACAACACAGGCTGGTGGTCAATGGGCGTTTGGCAAGGAAAGTCAAGATATCAACCCGCCAGGCTGCAAGGTGCTTCAGTTTGGGGCTTGGCTTCATGGTTTCATGCATGGAGGTGCCATGAAACATCATGAAGTACGCGTTTGTGGTACGCAACCGTACGTGGTGATTTGGTGCCATTTGGAAACGGGGCACCCTTGCCGACTAGTCCTCGAGGATCCTTCGTTGCTCAGTCTTAGGTTACAATTGGCCATTTCCAAGCCGCGTGCTTCGCAGCTCTTTGCGGGTCGCCTTCACCAGGTTCGCAGGGGATGGCAGGGGATCGCGGATGATCGCCAGAACTCGCAGCGGGTGTGGGGCCATCAGGGGGGGTCGTTGAGGCATTGGCCCGCCGCCTCCCAGCTGCCTTGGAGAGCGCACCGGCAGTTTTGGTGATCTCTTGGTCGCCGGCTGAGATTGCGGCCATAGACAACGTGGACCTAAGAGCGCCATATCTTGATCCAATGCGACATGAACAATATGCCAGGCTGGAGTACTACGCGGAGCATGGCCTGGTCGATCACGACCATGTGGCGGTCTGGGAGCATGCCGGCTTCTCGAGTTGGCACACTGCGGGTCAATTGCACCACATTGCAAGATTGCATGATATTGCATGATCTTGCATGATATTGCATGATATTGCATGATATTGCATGATATTGCATGATATTTCATGATATTGCATGATATTGCATGATATTGCATGATATGCGGCTCAAAAGTCTAGGTATGTAACTGGCTCCCGGGCGTCTTTCCGCGACATAGGGTTTGTAACAAAGCCGTTCTGCTTGCGACAAGCAGTCCGCGACAAACCTCCGCGACAAGCCTCCGCGACAAGCCTTTGCGACAAGCCCGTTCTTGGAACTGCATGGGTTTCGTATCTCGTTTTCAAGACAGCGCGAAACAGCCGCAACAAACCCCGCGACATACGTATGAAACAAGTGGGCGCGACATACGTATGTAACACAGGCGGGTGGCGGGATACCGCGACATACCCCTATTCAGAGCCACAGCCAATATTGCATGTACTGTCGTACGGACTTCGTCGACTGGATGGTGGCATGGGGATTGACCACTGAATCAAGTGTTCGTGGATCCGAGTGCCAAGGCTGGCAAGGCGCTGCGAGAGTGTTTCCTGTCGGACGAGGAGGCGGTGGGCTCAGATGGCCATGGGATGTTGCGATCGCATGCGAGCACGTTGGGTTCACTTGCAGGAGGCCCGCCTCTTTCAGATACAGGACCGGCGCTTAGATTGGCTTGGCTTGGTGTGTGTGCCCTGATGAGCCCACAGCGGTGCTTCCTGCGCACAGCATCGTGTGACTCCCCCGAATACCCCGGGTGCAAAACAAGATTCTTTTGTGCGAGAGCCTTTTTGGCCGCCCTTATGATGTCGTGCAAGCGCAGAGATTGGCAGAGATGCTCCAATGCGCAGAGGGGTTGAGAAGGCTGGCACGATTGAGCATGATCGAGAGGCTCCAAGTCGCGTGTGGCTTGGAGCAGACCCCTGACTTTCCCTCAGTGTATTCCACGCAACAGCTGTCCTTCATCAAATTGGTCTCTGTGTGTGTACGCCCTGATTCCAAGCTTAGGGTTTCGCAAGGATCGAAGCAGGGGGCACGGGTGCATTCTCTGGTTCTTGTGCCAACGACGACGGCCACATTGCAGTGACATGGGAGTGATCTCTCCCACGTACCTGCCAGGTTCAGTGTCAGCAATGCAGTTGTTTGCCGCTTAATAGGTATCCTGAAGGTTGAACAGATATGTCATGTCGTCTTCTAGTCTGGGAGATTCCCCTGCGCTCTGTGTGTGCTGGGTGTGTGCGTGTTGTGGTCATCGTCCCGTCTGCCCTGCAGCATCGGATGCAAAGGTTTGGCCTCGAGCGGGGCATAAACATCAGCGCCATGTCCTGCACAGGCCGGACGAACGACGAAAGCGAGCATGCGACGTCAAAAATGACAAGATCTGATTGAAGCTGTTTGTGGCAGTGCGGGCGATCGAGTTTCCGACTTGGGTGACATCCTGATGCTGTCGACCCTCGACCGAGAAACTCCCCTAGATCAAGTGCATTCAAGTGCTTTCTTGCGCTAATTACGTCCTGGTGGAGCTCCAGAACTGTCAACTCTTCAAATCCTGTTTTGGATGCGTGGTTGTATTGTGCGCAGATCGGGGCAAGTGGCCAGGAAACACCCTGTGAAAGCTCGGAACTCGTTGTACGCTTTTGACACATATTCGGGAATATCAAACTGTGCTAATGATTGCAGACGAGTCCTGTTCTTCAGGCACAGGAACGTCCGCTGTTTTGAATTGCAGATAGCTTTCAAATGCGTGTCGTTCTGAAGTTGGCCATGTTGGTTGGCCCTTCACGCTGGGTGTCTTCCATCTCAGGTTCTCCCAGTGTGGGCTCTGCACGGGGCTCTGCCCGTGACCCTTCACGAGTTCGTCCCACTCTGCGTCGAACTGTCCTCAATCCCTTTGAGCGCACAGCAGAAGACGGACAGGCTTCCTCGCTGTCGTCTTCATCGTCAGCATCACTGTCGTGCCTTCTCGCATCAACAAAAACGCTGTTGCTCCCTTTCAAACTCCACGGTCAGACTGTGGGCTAGAGCAGATTGAACGGGCATGCGGGCCACGGGCGATTGATTGCAGTTCACTGCGGGTCATTGCATCATTGCGGGTTATTGCGGGTCATTGCGGGTTATTGCGGGTCATCGCGGGTCTCAGAAGTGGCCCTTTTTCTGATGGGAGTTTAGAGTGCGCAGTTTTTGCAGGAGCAGGTGCCCCTGTGGGTCTCCGAATGCATCCCGTTGGCAAGGCGGGAACTCTGGTCAGTATGGCTGTCGCGCCAAAATCTGAAGTAGTGACGGGATGTGACGGGGGCGATGTTTGTTGCCATCAGCGCTCCATACAGGCCTTCCAACAGGCTTGTGGTGGACCTGCTGCCATCAGCTAAGGAGGCCCAAGGGGTGGAGGGCACGAGTCCAGTGATTTCGGAGTTGAAGAGTTCAGACTGACATGTGTTGGCTCATGCTGGCACACGGTGTCCTTGTGTGTTGGTTTTCGGCACGAGCCGTGTGCATGACACGACGGGAGAGCACGGGACGTTTGTCGGGAACACGGTTGGAGGACAGTTGGAGCACAGTCGGAGCACCGTTGGCCGCACGTTGGAAAGTGCGACCCACGAAGCATGAAGCATCGAACACGTATGATCCAGCACAATCAGCATGAGCCAATGACTCACAACGACCAAACCATGCAAAATGGCATATGATCATCCGCAAGCCGCAAGCAGCATGCGTAAGAGTGCCTCCCATGGTGGGCTGCCACGCTGGGATGCAAAGCGCGATCCGAAGCAGCGTCGAGCCCTCTTGCGGCACATCGACTTTGTCAAAGCAGGAGCGGTACTTCCTGAGATCCCAGCAGCTGACAGACAGCTTGATTCGATGTGTTTTTTGAGTTTTGTACTGGCAGGCTTTCCCGACATCGTGTGCTTCGAACAGACGGGCCAGCGCGCCAGATCAGAGGATCGGCGCGAGCAGCTACTCCAGGCCCTGCAAAAGGGAGACGCCGAGCGTCTGCAGAAGCTTTGTGCCGTGGCCCTCTCGGATCCTGCGCTGGCCAGTACAGACCTTGTTGCCACTTGCAAGAAGCTGCTCCGCCACCTCCTGCACTTCCGGAAGGTCTTGAAGGAAGGCCGCACGTTTCTTCAAGGCGTTCCGTGGGATTATCCAGCAGAGCAAGTCGACATCAATGTTGGCCTGCTGCGGAACTCACAGTGGGGAGCTGGCATCTGGGATGACGAGCTATTGGCCAAGGCCAAAATCATGAAGGATGCCGATCTCCTGAAGCTGCTGCGTTCCGTGCGGCCTTTGAACGATGATGGCTCCCTGAAGACTCGGGTAGACACTCATCGCTGCATAAGGGCTTGGTTGACTCTCACTGAAGCAGGCGTGCTAAGTGAACACCTGTCCAGGACCCCATATGACCCCATGCGGGAGTGTTTTGAGATGTTTTGAGTGTTTTTGGACTTCTTGGAAGGATTGCTGGGGATTGTTCAATCGTGTGCTCCGCGCAGGATGCTTCTCTTGCGCCTGTGCGAGTGCGGCAAAGCTGGCGTGCCTTTGATATCGTTTGCTCAGAGCTGCCGAAGGAATCGGCTGGCTGGGGTCAGTCAGGTTTGAAATGTGGCACTTTCTGCCGATGTGAGTTTACGGAGGTTGTCCTGTTGGCCTCCGCTTGTGCTTTGCTTGTTTGGGGGTACTTGCACGACAGAGTTCTGTATTTGGAATGTGCAGGACTCTTTTGCCACATCTGCACATTCTCTGCACACTCTGCTCGCTCTGCAGACACTGCAAGGTCGCCTTGGGAATGGCTTTGGCTGAGCCGTGGTTTCTGTTGCAATATGGTGGAGGTGTGCAGCTGGCGTTCGTTATGGAGGCGTGACTCACGGAATTCCCTTATTCGATGTGACCCATGTTAAGCCCTTTGATGAGTAGTAACGGCCTTTCCATTTGGATTGTTGGTCAACTTGTTATACTTTCTATATGAAGAAACTTCCGAGATAATGCAAAATTGTCAGGGAATGGTGCTAAAGGGACAAGCGAAACGTGGAGTAAGATCGTTGGGATGAAAGATAACTCCTCACAAGTAAATTCTCGTCTGCAGTTCTTCTTGTGTTGATGAAGGGTATCAATGGAGCATCGCAGTGACAAGAGCAACTCGGGGTCTGAGGCCTCTGGGCCTCTATGGGTGTGGTCGAAATCCACGTTTCTTAGGGGTGAATGTGCAGTCCCTTGCACAGGAGCTGTGGAAGCACCTCTGGAAGGACGCTCCATTTCCAGTGCTCGCATTATGAATGTTGGTGAGTTTTGGAACGTGGTGTTGTGAACTTTTTGGTAAGCAGTCGATCTCGGCTGCACCTCAGGGAGCGCAGCTCAACAAGACGTCTGAGCTGAAGGTGGTGCCCATCCTCCAAGGATGGCTCACGGGCTCCTGGAGCTGTTGCCAGGTAGTTGTAAGTGGGCTTGCAAGTGGCTTTTGCACGGCCGCCTGCTCTTTAGTTTTGCCAGTTGGAGAGCAGGACAAGCCTCCGGACTTCGAGACCTTTCTGGATACGTACGAGCAGAGCAGCAGCGGGACCTTTACCAGTGCACTCTCCTTTCTGTTCTTAACCGAATGGGGGCAGATGCAAGGATCGTTAAGAAGTGACATCACGGGGGCTGACAAGCGATGCCAGGAGTTGCTGCTGAAGGGCCCGCTGGCAGCATTGAACACAGCTCGGCGCATCCTGCAACGTTGCCGCAATCATGCGAGGGTTGCCAGCTTACCGCCCAACTTCAAGTGCAACACAGCCTGACACACTTTCACACTGCAGGGAGGAGGTCGGGGCTGTCTCCGAGAAGGGACCTGCAGATGCCGAAGCTGCGCGGGTGGCCACCGTGCTTTGCGTCATCCCAAGCCCGGCACTAGTGGTTTTGGGACACCAGGGGCTTCTGGACAGAACTTGGCTTGCTGATCTGCTTTACCTCTTCTTTGCAAGCTCCCCCAAGCTCCCCCGAAAGTGTCCCAAAGCCAAACCTCTTCACAAGAAAGCATGGTATGAACTAGATTGCCTTGCAGAGGCTCTTTCCTACGATGCTCCAGCACCGCGGGTCTTGCACTGCTGCGCTGGCGGCAGCCTTGCAAGTTTGCGCGATGGCTGTCGGCCTGTCACTGACCTGGTCGGCGAAGATGCTGGGACAGCAGAGATGATTCAACCATGAAACGAGATGCGTGTTGCCCTCCTGCGCGCCCCCCCCCCCCCCGTTTGGTAAGGCCGGGGCCGGTGGAGGAGCCAGCGGAGGCTGAGGCTGCGCCGAGCGCGCCCGAATCGCAGAACGACCTGGGTGCCTGCATGGTGGCTGCTGCCGAGCAGCTGCAGCACATCGGCTATCCGAAGGCTCCGAGAAGCCAGGTGGGAGTCTGAGCTTACTCCCTTTGAACTCCCAACACCTCCCTCTCTGCCCCACTTGCTTCAGATGTTTCAGGAGCAAGCTGCCATGAAGACGATCTTGTAGCTTGGCTTTAGGAGTGCCTTAGGACCTTAGGCAGCTGTGAGTTCGCTTGTGCGCTCAACATGCTCCGATTCTGCGTCGAAGGTCAGCTTGCGCCCAGGACCTCGAGGACGAGGGACAATTGGTTATTGGAGCCTCCTGACTCCAAGCCCATCTTGGCTTCGCTGTGAGTCCACACTTTCGAGTATAGGTTCAGGATGGTTCAAGACAGCTCCCTCGTTCATAGCGATTTTCCGGCAGGAAGCATCTCCCGTAGCTTTTTTGGCAGCTTCGAGCAGATGGTGTCTCTGCTGCGTCATTGCTGTGTTTGAACATGACTTAGCTCCTGAAAGGGCGTCAGCATGAATTTTCAGCATCCACGTCTGGGCGTGCAGACGCATGGAAGTAAAGTAGTATGTCATTGGTATCATGGGCCACCTCTGGTGTGAAGGGATTCCTGCCGCCCTCACTCTCCCCGCACACGCTCTGCGATTCATCTCCCACGTGAGTTCAGGGCTCACCTCGCCGGAAACATGGCGAGCGCATGCGCCATGTCGGAAGGTCTCAAAGAGACGCTAGATGACCAAAGAGTGGCAGCAAAAACTCTGGGCGCGGGGGGTGCCCGAGCATCGAGACGAAGCGGGAATAGCAAGATGGGGAGAGAGAGAGAGAGAGAGAGAGAGATAGAGAGAGCGAGAGAGAGGAAGGAAGAGAAAGCAAGTACGGGGGGACCTAGCCTGTGAGAGCCTGTGAGAGCCCCTGAGAGTCCGTGAGAGCGCGTGTGCAGGAGATGCAGGAGCCCGAGGTGCTGGCGTCCGACGTGATTTTTGTTGGCGGGAGGTGAGGGGCGAAGTTGTGCGAAATTGTGCGAAGCAACTTTGATTTTTGTTGACTTTTCATGTCCAAAAACTGCAGCAGCGTCATGTGAGACACCGTGAGATTCAGTGCGAGTGGAGACTTGGCAACGCATTGTTCAGCCTCCCGTGCAGCTCCGCTCTGCAGCGACCATCGAACATGACCCCGCGAGGAGCTCAGCACGTCTCTTCCTCTCTCACCATATTCCAACAAGATGAGCACGTGCCGGATCTTGCTGCTAGTAGAACCTCTTCGCTTGGTTTTTGAATTTGAAAATTTGAAACGCAAACCGATGTCAGCCTTCCTGAGGCCGATGTACCAGAAATCGCCGCCGGCCGCTGGCTAAGCTGCCGACCTTTTGAACTCGAAGCTTGTCGCGAGATGTCGTGTTGTTCAAGGAGACATCACTATGTCACTCCAGTTTCAGGTTCCGGTTCTCTGGCACATATCTCCAGAAAGCGGGCTGCCCGACTTTGGCTTTGTCTTTGTGACATAACCTCAGGGAAGTCAGATTTTCCCAGGCTACCAACGGCGATTGTCACGCTTGGGCACTCGACAGCTTGTCCTGGAACCTCGGCAGAAAGCTTTTTATGCGACAAGTCTGCCTCACGGTCGGCTTCCAACTTAAACGTCCTACCAGGCTCTTCGCTATGCAGCTGTTGATGGCGCGGCCTGCTGTGATTACTACTCTGCAGTTTTGTGTAGTTATCGCAAGAATGACATTTGCTACGAAAGCTGCAGCGACTCGCGGGCATGTGCAAGTAGTTTTCAAGCATCACAGGTGCAGGTCTGCTGGCCGGAGGCAACAGTGATGACCCAGCCGCGTGGGGCTGCCAAGTGTCAGCCATATGTCATATCTGACAATGTTACAATGGTCCTTGTGATGGGATTGTGTGTATGTCGTGCATGCTTCATGCGGCTGCTCACCTATATTGCGAGGCAGAGGGCGCTGACACTGGCGACTGGTCAGTGGCCGCTGAGCACCAAGCCTTCTATGCCTTTCTTCTTGTCGGAGCTCCTTGGAGCGACTCCGTGCCATGCGCTCCCTTTATAAAGCTTCTGGACAGCTGTTCAACCTGCACAACTGCACTTTCGCTTTAAAGGCCCTTCGCGCAATCGGGAGTGAGGGTCAAGTCGGAAAAAGTGCTCATGAGTCCGAGTCAAAGAACAGGGCTGACCCCTGAGTCGCAAACGGGATGCCCCGACAGACAACACCCCCAGAAACGTGAGTCGAAAACACTCTGAAGCCCTGCCAGAAAAAAGAGCCTTCCCATGCGGTTCGAGGGTTTAGGGGTTTGTCGGATCTTTCGGGTTTTTTTAGGGTTTAGGGCCGTTTAGGGTTTAGGGTTTTGTGGGTTTGCAGTTTAGGATTTTTTAGGTTTTTTTTTTCGATTTCGGGCTGAGGGGGTTTTAGGCTTTAGAGTTTAGGGGCTTTTTTGGGTTTAGGGTTTCGGCGGTTTAGGGTTTAGGGTTAGGGGTTGTTAGGGTTTAGGGTTTGGTTGTTCGGGTTCAGGGTTTCGGGTATTAGGGTTTAGGGGGTTTTAGGGTTTCGGGCTGAATTAGGGGGTTTTTAGGCATAGGGGCCTATCTGAAAGGGATCGGGGTCTATGGCGGATCGAAAAGTCGGGGAGGGGAGTGGGGTTGGTGGGGGAGCCTACCCCATTTGCAAACCCCCCCTGCCCCCCATTTGGAAGAAGAAATGCCTGAAGCAAGCTTGCACGGCTTAACAAGCGCGGGCTTGACGTGCACGGGGACCTGTCTGAAAACGAAGCGGGTCCATAGGGTCACAACAGGGTCTGTGTCAGAGCCGCCCCCCTTATGTATAGGACCCTATCCTACCCATGGGAGGTGCCTATGCCAGGTATCTATCGGTTTCGGTGGACCCTGTAGATGATCAGATAGGGGTTTTTCTTTTTTGAGGATAGACGGGTAGGGCTGAGGGTCTATACATGTCCCGATAGACCCCTACAAAGTAGGTACCTATCCAAGAAGGGATAGACGGCTGCTTGGCAAGCCTTACGTTTCGTTGTAGAGGCTAACCATTCTGTGCCTGGGGCCGTTTGTTGACTCACTGTCTTGTTTTCTGACTCGCGTCTCCTGACTCGGCTTTCCGTTTTCTGACTCGGTCTTTGGCGTTTTCGACTCGTTTTTCTGATTCGACCCTCACCCGAATTTTTTTGTCCCTGTGCGCACATTGCGAGCGATGTCGGGGCTTAGGGAATGAGGTCACCCCGTAGTCGTCACCGGGGTGGCCTGCGGGCGGAGCTTCTTCACCCTGAGGCGACGACACCGAAGCCACAGCCGCGCGCAGCACTTCGCAGGGGTCCCAAAGGGAGGGCCTTCCACCTCGACTAACTCCACTCCGTATTTGGAGTTTGGCACGGTCTAGCAGTCTGAGCATAGCTTATATCAGTTGCAGGATGCTTCGCTTTGCTCATATCTTCGAGTCAGCATATCATATCGAGTCATCGAGGTCAAGGCTCTGCTGGACGAGCTCATCGAGCGAGTGCGAAGTTCTCGCAGTCTAAAGTTGGCCGAGGCTGCAAGCATCTGCAC